TACACTTAAAAATTAGCTTGACCTAGCTACATCACTGAGGGCTGTGGACAATTTGTGCTGTAGTTAGGTCGATGGAAGAATGTTTGGAGAGGTAGATTATCTACCTCAAGGGAAAACCTCTTCTATTGACGTAGGAAGCGCGTACAGTATGGCAGAAAGCGGCACACCATAGCTGTGCTGCTGTAGCAGCTGTAGTGTGGACGTACCTTTATAGCCCTTCACAAATTTCAGAGATCAAGGACTTCCCAGTCCTCACAACAATCCTATGAAGTAGGAAGTCATGGCATCGTTATTTTACAAAATGTAACACTTGTTTATATTTTATTATTTCTTTGGCTTTATCTGCTCAAATGCAAGAGAGATGCACTGCAGGATGGAGAGGAGACATGCCCATCACAACATGAAAAACGTCCACAGCAAATGCCAATTGTGAAACTAGCTGAGATTAGCACAGCATAGCAAAACAAACTGTGTACTCTATCCTCCCCAAATACCATCCCTCAATCAGTACCATTCCCCAAAAGCCAGGGCACCCTGAAACTCCACAATCTAGGACAATTTCTGACCTGAGGGAAGCAAGTTCCACACAGAGGATGCCTTCCAGCATCGGCCTTTTTTATATTGAGGCAGGGAGCTCTAGCCTGAGTGCCTCCACTGATCGCACCTGGTGCAGTATGGCCTGGTGTGATGGTCTCTTAGCTAGGCAGGACACAGATCAGTTAGGGTTTTACAGGTAAAAATCAACGTCTAAAATTCCTCCTGGAAACCCACAGGCAGCCAGTGCAGATCACAAAGCACCAGTGCAATGTGCTTGCCTGGGGATGCCCTGTGTAATAAGCAGGCTTCTCCATTCTGCACCGGTTTCAGCACTCAGATTCATTTAAGAGCTAACCCCAAGCACAGAGCACTTTGCAGCAGTCAGATCTTGAGGTGACACAGATGTGAATCACCATTATGAGATGCGCATCCAAAAGAAAAAGTTTCAATCTCCTGGCCAGACAGAATGAAACAGAAGCCTTCCCAGCCAGTTCTGAAACCTGTAATTGGGGAATCCAATCAGATCCCCAGTTAATGAACAAAAACTCTCAATTAGAGGGGGGAGGCATCTTCCGGAGGATTGGGTGGGGAAACAGCAACAGCACCTAATCTGTCTGGGCGGGGCCTTAGCTGTCTTGCTGTCATACATATGCCAATTTTCACACAAACACCAGGAAAGGTGCTTAACTGTGTTAACTCAGTGCTGTATGTTTGTCTCTTTCAACTCAGATATCAGAATCTTGATGATCCTGTAACCTCTGCTCCCTCACTACCTAGCCTAGCTACAGGTATCATGTGGTGATGTGGGATTTGTATGAGCATCTCCTAATTTTAGTGAATTATTTTCCTTCCCTCCAAAAGATTTTTAAAAGCGCTCTTATCCATTCCCCTTGGTTTTTCTGGCAGTCACTTCAGTGCGGGGGAGTGTAGTTTATAAACTGAAGTCACATAACTTTGGAGCTGAGTACTTTGAGCATATATTCTTAGGGCCACATCCTGTCCTTGACTTGTGTGTGCCCTTGGCACACGCAGTATGTGAGTGAGCTTGTATGGATGTCGTATATGGCTCTTAATGCCAGAGAAGTAAAGCTACTGCAGAATATCTCTAGTTCAAAGTGAACTGCAGTGTCTTGGTCTTTGTTTTTAAAAGCAAAATAATTCCACATAAATAATAATATATTTCAAAACAGAGCCCTCAGTTGATAAGAGCTGTTTTTTTCCAAATATTTTTTTTAAATGTATTTATTTGTAATTAAGTCTGTAGATTTAAACATCCAAAAATTTCTTACAGCTGATCCTTATTATAGTTTTCTTTCTTAAATAAACTTCAGTATGTGTGGCTTTTACTTTTGCTTGCAACCAAAACAATGTAGTTGCTTTTTAGCAAACGCTAGATGGCCTTCTAACAAATGACTTTTTTTTTTTTGGTGTGTGTGTGTGTGTGCTTAGAGAGCAGTAGGAACTCGCGCTCCATTGAGTTTTCTCATGTTACTTTCTTGCTGTAGAGGAAAACTGAGCTAATCTTTATTTTTTTTAATGAATGCAGTATGAGTTGAGGTAAGCCGTGGCTCCTGATTCTGTATTAAATGAATGAATACCACAATATTCTGAAATCCTCTTGTTAAGAAGGTAGAGGGAAACAAAGTTTTCAGTGAGAGTTGGATTGGGTCTTAACTTTACAAAGTTGACATATCTGCACTGAAGACTTCTAAAGTACCGTATACTTTACAGTTTAGATCTTGTTTCTGCACATGCTTAAGCATGTGCTTAACTGTATGTATGAGTAATCCAATTTGGGTGACTACTTGGATGCGCAAAATTAAGCTCTTGAGTTTTTGCAGGATCAGGACCCTAGCTGTTTGCCAGTGCAGTAATTTACCACATCCTGTGTTAGCTTCATGACTCTCAGAGCATTTTGGGGTTCATCGGCATCGTACAAAAACTTTGTTTCCAACAAAAGTAATCTCAGGGGTGTTTCCTTTAACAAGCATGTATCTTTAAAATACTTTCGTATTTATCAGTAGTAAGATGATTATGCAATATTTAGCTGCTTTATAAAGATAAGATGAGATTATAATAAAGCATAGCTCTTATATAGCATTTTTTTTATCAGTAGGTCTCAAAGCACTTAAAGGGGGTCCAGGTTTTTATCCAGCTGGGGAAACTGAGGTACAGAGTGGTGAAGTGACTTGCCCAAGGTCACTGACCAGGCCTGTGCTTAAGCCAGGAATAGAACCCAGGTCTCCTGAAAGTCCCAGTCCAGTGGGGATGAATGTTTGTTTTGATTTTCTTAGGATTTTATATTGCCACCTATCACGAGGATCTGAGTGACTCTGAAGCTCAGCCTTTCCAAAATCACCTTTTCAGTCTGTGGGCACAACTTATGGTACCTTGATCTCAGGGCACCCACGATCAGGTGAACAGGCATCTAAATAAGTACAATTTCAAGTGTAATTAACTGTGCCAGCAGAATTTTTATTACTGTGATAGCACCTAGAGACCAGGGCCCAGTTGTGCTAGGCACTGTCCTGGCATAAAAAAGACAGTGCCTGCCCCAAAGAGCCTACAGTCTCAGTGTACATATAGGCAACAGGGGGCTCAAACAGATGAAGCACAAGGAAATCAATGATACTGATCAGCCTGAAAAACTGCCACAGCAGACCAGTACCTAACCATTGCTGAGTGTTTTGTAAGCATCACAGTTGGTAGTGGAGGCTGTGTTGAGACCTGCATGAAAGCCAGGACCTAAACAATTATTTTAAAAGTGGGATGAAAACAAAACTCTTCTACTAGAGTCTCCTGTTGTTTACTCCTTCTCATAACACAAGAACTAGGGGCCACCAAATGAAATTAATAGGCAGCAGGTTTAAAACAACAAAAGGAAGTATTTTTTCACACAATGCACAGTCAACCTGTGGAACTCCTTGCCAGAGGATGTTGTGAAGGCCAAGACTATAACGGGTCAAAAAAGAAATAGATAAATTCATGGAGGATAGATCCATCAATGGCTATTAGCCAGGAGGACCAGGGATGGTGTCCCTAGCCTCTGTTTGCCAGAAGCTGGGAATGGGCGAAGGGATGGATCACTTGATGATTATCTGTTCTGTTCTGTACTTCTGGGGAACTTGGCATTGGCCACTGTCGGAAGACCAGATGCTGGGCTAGATGGAGCTTTGGTCTGACCCAGTATGGCCATTCTTATGTACTTAAATTCAGCCAGACCCTTGGGTGCACCTGTGCTCCTGCAACTTTTCCACTCTCTGCTTGATCTCAGAGGCAGCATCAAGCTGGTTTGTTCCCCTCCAGTGCAAGTTAGAGCTGCCTCAAGGGTGGTTCCAACAAGCCCAAGTTGCAGGAGGGCAGTGTGCTCTGATCATGTCCTTTCTTGCCTCTGGCCTCCCTGGGGTTAGTGCTGGCTCCACTGGCTTTACATCACCCTGGAATTCCCTTCTGCAGCAGGAATCCCGTGCTGCCATACTGGGGGAGCTCCTTTCCATTTCTGCCGTGGGAGTGGGGCATTGGAGCTGGAGCCGTGGCTCAGGCTCTGGCCCTGCATGATCACATGTCTAAGACTTAGCAGGGTTCCTGTTAATGGTGACCTTGTCCCTGATTATTTTATTTAGTGTTTTTCCTTGTAACACCTATCACCATGGCATCTGAGCACTTAACAGACATAAACTGACGCTCACAAGATCCCTGTCAGCTAGGGAAGTGCTGGCACTAGTTTGGGAACTGCAGCAGCATTCTTCTGTCCAGTATCGTATCCATGGCTGTAGACACATATATAATGGAGTTCTGTGTGTTTCACCCATCAGATGTTTGGCACCCACACAGACCTCCCTCATGGGAAAACTGTGGGTCGATCATAAACGTATACTCGGTGAGAAGTAGGTAGTAGGCAGGCCTAGCAAAACCCTGAGTGTACCACCAGTAAACTGAAACCTTATATCTTTTGCCCAGCATCTGGATGAAGGACTAAAATCTTAGGCCATGAAGTTTATTGTTGGTCTTGGTAGCTGAATAACTGCCTTGGTAGTCATGAGTAACTGGGGTGCTCATCCTATTACCAGTAGCTGTTCACTTAAGCCAGATGCTCACCTAATTCCCATCGATTTCTGTCGAAGTTAGTTACCTGAATACCTTTGAGGGTCTGGGCCTTAGAAACCTCCTTCTATTTTGACTTGCTTTAGACTATTCTGATCATTCTCTCCCATGAAACTGGTTGGTAAGGTACTGAATAGAGCGGGCTGCAGACAGGTGTGGTCGTACATTTTGGGATTGGGAATCAACACACCCTGGTGACTGTCTGGAATTTCAATTCCATGCTTTAAACCTTTTTATTTTTCCTGTGTCTCTTGAGTGCCATGCAACTGCTGTGAGGATGAGAGAACTTGGAAGTATAGGGTGGGATTTTCAAAAGCCCAATTTCTTGGTTAATTTCTGTTTTTCCCCTCCCATCCCAGGCAAATGAGAGAGAGACTGAAGACTCAAGTTGCTCAGATGAAGGAGAGAGTCCCTGGATTCAGACCAGGGCTTGCAATTTTGCAGGTATTGTTGCCTTCTTTAAAAACAAAAAAAAAATGAAAAAGCCGTTCTGCTCTGTAATGCTAATTGTAAGACCATGGAAAACTGATTGTCTTCATCTGAAATGACTCAGCAAAATAATGCTTTAAAACAAAAATTCCTACTGAACACAGTGTAGCAATGTGATTATCTGTGTGTCTGTTACTGGGGTCCAGGAAAAGTCACGCCCCCTCTCCCCGAACCTGTCTGACCTTCCCCTCAATCTGGTTTGATTTGTTTTCATTCTTCTTCTTTTAATGTGAAAACACTTCACAAGTATAGACTGCTACACAAATCCTGTATTATCTACTAACAGCAAACCTCACTAGTAGACTCTGTTTCACGTCTTTTTACCTTATATGACCGCAAGATATACCTGCTTTTGTAATTCCCACAAACATAGGTTGTTGCATCAGAAATCAACTTAATGATGTGATGATTAGGGTGATTGACTCAGTTCTTGCTGCTAGGGAATGTGAAAGAGAATCTAACATGAAAAAGTTTAGTTACTGTGAATGTAACAAAACTCTGCGAGCTGTAGTCTGGCTTTTCCATGGCACCCATCCAAACATAAAAGCCATCCTGCAAGCCCAAATGGGAATATTAGCATGAGTAAAAGTGCAGGCCTATACATTTGGCAGAATGCAGCGTCTTCGGTGCTGTTGTGAAAAATAGAAGTTATCTGGTCAGAAGCATTTTTCAATCTCAAATTGAGTAGGTGTAAAGAGCAGCTGTCATGTCACAGGAATGAATGCTGTGGGTGGAGAGAATTTATGGGATTTGAAATGAATGTTTACAGAAGTGGTCTCTGTCCTTGTCCACCCTCATTTATCTGTCTATTAGAAACATAGAATATCAGGGTTGGAAGGGACCTCAGGATGTCATCTGTCCAACCTCCTGCTCAAAGCAGGACCAATCCCCAACTAAATCATCCCAGGCAGGGCTTTGTCAAGCCTGACCTTAGAATTCCTTCCTTAGAGGTTTTTATCACCTCCCTAAGTAACCCATTCCAGTGCTTCACCACCCTCCTAGTGAAAAAGTTTTTCCTAATATCCAACCCTCCCCCACTGCAACTTGAGACCATTACTCCTTGTTCTGTAATCTGGTACCACTGAAAACATTAGATCCATCCTCTTTGGAACCCCCTTTCAGGTAGTTTGAAAGCAGCTATCAAATCCCCTCATTCTTCTCTTCTGCAGACTAAATAATCCCAGTTCCCTCAGCCTCTCCTCATCAGTCATGTGCTCCAGCCCCCTAATCATTTTTGTTGCCCTCCGCTGGACGCTTTCCAGTTTTTCCACATCCTTCTTGTAGTTTTGGGCCCAAAACTGGACACGCTATTCCAGATGAGGCCTCACCAATGCCGAATAGAGGGGAATGATCACGTCCCTCGATCCCCTGGCAATGCTCCTACTTATACAGCCCAAAATGCCGTTAGCCTTCTTGGCAACAAGGGCACTCTGTTGACTCATATCCATCTTCTCGTCACTGGAACCCCTATGTCCTTTTCTGCAGAACTGCTGCCTAGCCACTCTGTCCCTAGTCTGTAGCAGGGCATGGGATTCTTCTGTCCTAAGTGCAGGACTCTGCACCTGTCCTTGTTGAACCTCCTCAGATTTCTTTTGGCCCAATCCTCTAATTTGTCTAGGTCCCTCTGTATCCTATCCCTACCCTCCAGCGTATCTACCATTCCTCCCAGTTTAGTGTCGTCTGCAAACTTGCTGAGGGTGCAGTATAAAGCCCTGCTGAGGGTACAATATAAAGCCCTACTGAGGGTGGCTGAATTATCTGCCTCTCTATCTTTATCTATCAACCAAAATACAAAACTCTTCACCAGCTGGGGCACAAAAGTAGCTGACCGCTGTACACTGCAATCACCTGGCTTCATTTAACATTCTGACACTTTCATTTTGGCTGTTCCAGACCGGAGGATTGAAGCAGCATTATACAAAACCACTTGTTAATTTGAAAGCTATTTATCAGGCTCACTCGCCAGAAGAACATCCACAAAACATCTGGAAGACTTAAATTCATTCTTCAGATTATTAGCAGCTTGGATAGCATCAGCTAGTATTATTGCACTGCATAGCACAATGGTAGACTAGCCTTGTCCATGGTGTGCATGGTAAGAAATTGCAGGCCATGGTGTTTTCTAATCTTGCCGGTAATTTGCTACTGGAATAGCTTGCAGTTTCTACATGTGAATGAAGTAGGGCTTTATATTTTTTTAGCAGCTTAGCCAGGAGAAGAGCCTCTTTGTTGTACACAGGATAATTATCTATTTCTTCAATCAGCTGATAAAATGTAGTGTCCTAAGATGACTGTATTGTTGGAGTGTAACTAGATGGTTTTGCTTTATTTGTTTTGCTCGAGTAGGAAGAAATGCATGTTGAGTGGTAAACTGCATCCTTACCAGTCAAGCCTTCCACAGATGTCCTGCGCAACATGTCGTCATCTCCTTGTTGAAGTGCTGCATCTCTTAGATTGGTTGCTTACTCAAATGTTTCTATTTTAAGAAGTGTCGTCTTGTATTTTGTGTGTTTTCTCTCAAGGAAACACTACAACAGGACTGATAGTTGGAGGACATGCTTGCTCTGGTGGCTATAGAAGCAGTGACCATAGAATCATAGAATATCAGGGTTGGAAGGGACCTCAGGAGGTCATCTAGTCCAACCCCCTGCTCAAAAGCAGGACCCATCCCCAATTAAATCATCCCAGCCAGGGCTTTGTCAAGCCTGACCTTAAAAACTTCTAAGGAAGGAGATTCCACCACCTCTCTAGGCAACGCATTCCAGTGTTTCACCACCCTCCTAGTGAAAAAGTTTTTCCTAATATCCAACCTAAACCTCCCCCACTGCAACTTGAGACCATTACTCCTTGTCCTGTCCTCTTCTACCACTGAGAATAGTCTAGAACCATCCTCTCTGGAACCACCTCTCAGGTAGTTGAAAGCAGCTATCAAATCCCCCCTCATTCTTCTCTTCTGCAGACTAAACAATCCCAGTTCCCTCAGCCTCTCCTCATAAGTCATGTGTTCCAGACCCCTAATCATTTTTGTTGCCCTTCGCTGGACTCTTTCCAATTTATCCACATCCTTCTTGTAGTGTGGGGCCCAAAACTGGACACAGTACTCCAGATGAGGCCTCACCAATGTCGAATAGAGGGGGACGATCACGTCCCTCGATCTGCTCGCTATGCCCCTACTTATACATCCCAAAATGCCATTGGCCTTCTTGGCAACAAGGGCACACTGCTGACTCATATCCAGCTTCTCATCCACTGTCACCCCTAGGTCCTTTTCCGCAGAACTGCTGCCTAGCCATTCGGCCCCTAGTCTGTAGCGGTGCATTGGATTCTTCCGTCCTAAGTGCAGGACCCTGCACTTATCCTTATTGAACCTCATCAGATTTCTTTTGGCCCAATCCTCCAATTTGTCTAGGTGCGCTCTGATCAGCTTCAGAGTCTGTTTTGTTTTCTTGGGTTCAGCACAACTGAGACATGTGCCAAATTCATATTGTGTATTTTTGAAAGTAACTCCTATATTAGGGTGCTGATGCCCCATCATCTAAACTAGAAAACTCATTCAGTAGCCATCAGTACAGTTCATCCCCCCCATGCCTTCTGCTACCAGCATCACAGACGTCTGTCCAGTTCTGGTGGCTTTTGACAGTTTTGCATTCTTTTGAATTTATTGACAAATCACACATTTTTTCACCTTTTTTTGTGTGGAGAGTCTTTTTCTTTTTGATGTGAGCCTTAAGGGGCTTGAATCCTCCATGTCTTCATATACTCTAGCTTCTCTGTAGAGGTAAAATCCCCAAGTATATTGTTAGCATTACTACCACCATTTTTCATTTTGTACAAGTATAAGACTTGTGCTAAATCAGATACAAATTAGAGCTATATGTTAGTATCAAAAATGCCATTTTTGTTTAGTGAGCACTTTAATGGAAGCCCAATATGAAGCTGTGTATTGTAATTTCTAACACTAATACTGACCTGTGGATAAGTGACGCTAATTAAAAAACTAGTTTTATACTCTTTCAAAGGCTAGTACTTTATGCATAGGCAATTACAAATTAAAACCAAATACCAGGCAGATTAGCTGCTATGTTGTGTGTACAAAAGCTTACAAATGGAGACGCATAACCAGGAATTCACGTACCTTTCTGTCTACCCACTATGCAGTACAAACGGTGGGCATGCAATCTACTGCTGTTGGTGCACAGTCTTCGGAGTGAGACTGATCTAGTCAGCAAATTTCAATTGAAAATATAGAAAACTATTATCCCTAGTGAGATACTTGGACAGCTAAGGTTACGTGATGTGAAGACATGTCATCTTAACATATTGCAAAATGTTGATATTTGCCATTTTTGCCACATGCTAAACAGCGTCGTCATTTCTGGGGGGAAAAAAAGCTTGCCTATGCAATGCCAATAAAAGTCTTTTAATACATTGTCATTTGATAGCTCTGAGCAATAAACACCATGTTAAGGTGTTGAAATTAATGTAAACATAAAAATCTGTAGTCAGTAATGTTGCAGTGTGTTTGAAACTGCAAAAAATTATCCTTTATTTTGGGGAGCATTGTTTCACTTTGTCTACAGGTTTAGGGCACCATTTGACAGCTCCACATCGTATCTCATCTAAACATACATAAAGTAAGCTTTCAAATGATATGTGATATGGGTGTGTGTAGAGTGGGTACATTAAACTCTGAAAATATGGCCCTTTATGGAGAATTGCCACACGTCTGTTAGTGCAGAATTCCCCTCTGATGTACCTCAACCCTACATTGTCTCAGAGAAATTCAGTCCTCATGGCCCATTCAGTCCTTGGCGTCGCTGTGACTTACAAGGATGCCAGATGTGATGGTGGTTTCTATGGTAGGTTTGCCCATTTACTAGACTGGTGTTACCAGTCTGTTTCACATAGGCTAGCAAACAGCATTTTACAGCTGCAAAATCCCATATCCATTAATAATTTCCTGAGCCATCTGCCTTGGAGCTGTTTGATTTAACAGTGCAGGGTAATTAATTGCAGGTGGGCAGGGAAACTCTTCCTGGTCTGTGTAGATTCTCATGCATTTATCTCCATTTCATTAGGTTACATTGGGTACTATACATGGCCATTTTGTTCATGAACAAAATCTCAAGCTGTACATTGATAGCAGAGTTTGAACATTCTCTTTCCCACACTAAAAACAGATGTTTTCTATTTCTTCATGTCTCCCACTGCCATCTCCACATTTTCTTCCCTTTCGCCCCTACAGACATGGCCTTCCTGAGCTGGTCTGCAAAGCTGCTCCCCCAACAATACCCTTAAGATCCATCCTTGCTGTAGCTTCTGTACAAGAAATTAGCTAGCTGTGGGAGCTGGGAGCTGTTTAGTTTGATAAAAAATCAAGAAGACAAGTGCCACTCATCACCTTGGCCATTTTCCTTGTTTCCATGCCCCCCACCTTTCTTTAGACATCAGACTCTTCCAAGCAGGGACACTGTCTTTGTATGGGGATGCCAGGTTTCGGGCGCTTCAATAATACAAGTAGTAGTAATTGCTTGTTACAGCTTTATGTGGGGAGCAGAGTTCGCCATCTGTAATCCAGTCATTAGGGAGCAGCATTTCTGGAGTTCACCCTGTTGTCTGCTGGAGTCTTGCCAGCTCTCCCTGGTGTTGTTCTTGCTACACAGAGTCTTTCTCTGACAAATTAGGCTGGAGTATGCATCCTGCTTTCTGAAGCCTGGCAGCACTGTAATCACCTGATACCAAGAATTACAAGCTTGTGTCCCACGTCACTTTCTCTTACATTTTGATCTTGACTTTGGTTATTTACAGCACAGCGGTGCTGGAAAACTGTCAGTGGAAATTTTAAGAGACAAGTGGCATAAGATGCCCAATGCCCGTTAGTTTGGGGCACCTTGTTGCCATATATGCCTTTGAATATCCATAAAAACGCACCCATATATATGTATGCACTAGGGCTGTCAAATGATTTTAAAAAATCACAATCACGATTAAAAAATAGTTGTGATTAGTTGCAGTTTTAATCACACTATTAATAATAGAAAGCCAATTTAAATGTATTATACATATTTTTGGATGTTTTCTACTTTTTCAAATATATTGATTTCAATTACAATGCAAAATGTTCAGTGTTTATATTATTTTTTATTACGAATATTTGCATTGTAAACAATTTTTTAAAAAGTCAAAGCATGAATGAGCATACAAATGTTTAGCATATCTGGCACATAAATACCTTGCAACGCCAGCTACAACAGTACCATGCGAATGCCTTTTCTCAATTTCGGGTGATGTTTATCTCCCCTAAATGTAAACAAACTTGTTTGTTTTAGTGATTGGGTGAACAAGAAGCGGGACTGAGTGCACTTGTAGGCTATAAAGTTTTACATTTTCTGGTTTTGAGTGCAGTTATGTAGAAAAAAATTCTACATTTGTAAGTTGCATTTTCACAATAAAGAGATTGCATTACAGCTGTGGTTCTCAACCAGGGGTTCACGTATTCCTGGAGGTACGCAGAGGTCTTCCAGGGGTTACATCAGCTCATTTAAATATTTCCCTAGCCTTACAACAGGCGACATAAAAAGCACTAGCAAAGTCAATACCAACTAAGATGTCATACAGCTAAAGATTAGTTTATACTGCTCTGTATACTATACACTGAATTGTAAGTATAATATTTATACTCCAGTTGATTTATTTTATAATTATTGGTAGAAATGAGAAAGTAAGCAATTTTTCAGTAATATTGTATTGTTACTGTTGTATTTTTATGTCTGATTTTGTAAGCAAGTCGTTTTTAATGGACGTGAAACTTGGAGGTACACAAGACAAATCAGACTCCTGAAATGAGTACAGTAGTCTGGAAAGGTTCAGAGCCACTGCAGTACAGTACTTGTACGAGGTGAATTAAAAATACTATTTATTTGTCTGTCTTTTTTACAGTGCAAATATGTGCACTAAAAAGTAATAATATAAAGTGAGTGCTGTAAACTTTGTATTCTGAGTTGTAACTGAAATCAGTATATTTGAAAATGTAGAAAAACATCCAAAAATATTTATTTATTAATTCATTTAAATTGGTATTTTATTATTGTTTAATAATGTGATTAAAACTGGGATTAATCATGACTATACACACATAATTAGACTGTGTATATCAAATAGGCCCAACTTGCCTGATGGCCTTAATCAAGTAATTGGGTGTTTCATAAATGAAATGAGCTCAGTTCAGAATCGATACACATTCACGCCGCTAGCAGTGAATCTCTCCCAGTATGGACATCCTTCTGAAGCCCCCAGGAGCAGTGCAGTCAGGATCTTGACCTGTTGCCCCAACACTAAAGGACATGCAGGTATATTAGTGTGTTTAGATACAAGTATCCAGGCAAGGGAGATGCTGCTTAAATACGTGCAGCAGCAAGGTTTGCCGTGTCAAGAGGGGCATCGTGAATGAGGTGAAGGCCAGGGGTTTAATTGTGTGTGTGTGTATGTGTAACCTGAACTCCTACTTTGGACTGACATAGAAGCCGAGTATCTGAGCTTAGATCTTGATGTTTTTTGGTGGTGGGGTTTCCTCCCTGCATGCTCCGACTCTGGTGGAAATTCGACATGAGCACATATCAGTATTGTATGCTGCCAGACAATGAGGTCAAGAGTGATTCCTTGTCTTCTCACCACCTCAGGACCCCTGCCCTCAATCAGAGGAAGCAAATATCTGGTGACTATTTCAGTGTGGAAATGTTGTTGATTTCACTGCATGCACAGCAGTGGTTCACATCCGATGTAGCCTCTGATAATTGGTGTGTCCAAAAACTCTCTCTTATTCTTAAACCGTGCTTCATAGCTGTAACGCTACATAGCGTGTTCTGCACTATGGGAAGTTGCTGTCTTCTGTCAGTGATCAATAAGGCTGTGATCAATCCTGGCAGTGCTATTGGGTATAAAACTGTCTGTGTTTGCAAGTCACGTTAATACATTTTAGATTTAACTTTTTCAGGAAAGAGACTGGGCATTTTTCTCTGCTTTGGAATGTACCATATTAAAGGCTTTCAAAAGGCATAAATGGCTGCTATTTAGAAAATTAGCCAAACTGTTTACCTATCTTTCACTTAAAAGGACATTTCCCATTAGCTCTGTCTGGCTGTATCCCTTTGCTATAGGAAGACTCTTGAGTCAAGCTGTCCCTGTAATATAACTACAGTTGAACAAAGGAACAGTCATTCAAATTCAGATATATATTTCTGTCTATCTGTATCTCTGCTTTCCATTGTGACTTGTCTCTTTCCTTTCGCCCTCTAGGTTGGGGATCGAGATGATTCAAATATCTACATTAGCATGAAGCTGAAGGCTGCTGCTGAGGTAATGCCTAGATCATAACTTTGATTTTCTTCGTAAATATTATACACCCCACCCCATGCACACGAGGTAGTAAAAACGTGCCTTTAAAGCCTTCAATATAGCTATACCTATGCAAACCCCTAATGTAGACAAGCTGCACTGATATAAACTGGGGCTTGCACTGTGTGGATTACTCTGGCAACATCAGTGTAGTTAGTTGGTGCAAATGTTTATAGTGTAGACAAGCTTTTAGTTTCGTGTGCCCACTGCACTGTTCTGTCCTCTGGCTTAGCCAGCCCCTAGACTCCTGCCCGTTATACCTCATTAAGGCATACACCTGCAGTTGCTTCATTTCAGCTCATTACCCTGCAGCCACTGTATGCTACAGTACACCCTGTCTTGTGGAAGGGGAAATTGGCCCGTTGTCCAAAATGTTGGTTGATGTCTTGTTGCTGTTTGCTAGCATTTCAGAGCAGTGTCCTTTTTGTCAGTCCTAGTACAGCAGCTGCTATCAAGCTGAATTGCCATCCCATAACTAGGGATTCTCTTTCTTTTGTAACCTATGTTACAGTATAGGGTAATAAAAACAATAACAGAAAAGTTAACTCAGCGGGGTACTAATCTTCTCTTTGGTTTATGTACTTCTGAGTAACAGAACTTTATTGCCTGTCCCTCAGTCAGACTAGAAAGCATGATAGATTCTATCGCAGTCCTGGGCTGGAATGAGAGGATTGCCACGCTGTTTTTACATAGTGCCTTTTACGTCAAGTAGAAAACCAGATCACTTCTGAGTTCTCTTTTGCAGATTGGGATCAATGCCAATCACATTAAGCTGCCAAACACTGCAACAGAAGCTGAGGTAAGTGACTTGGTCAGTCTCGTTAAGAAGCCCTTAATTTTGGTTTGGTATTAAAAAGATAAAATGTGTGTGTGTTTCTTTGACCTATCTTTTCATATAAAGAAACACTTGCCTTTAAGGGGTGTAAAAAGGAGAGATCACCAAATGCTGAACGTTTTTAAAGAATTTAATCTAGATGTTTCTGAAAAGACAAATCCACAAGTAATTTATATTTTTATATGGGAGAACTAAACATTGTGTGTGTGGTTTTCCCAAAGTCTATCCAGCTAGAAAATGCAACGTTCAAGTACTTGCACCAGACTTGTTTAAATGTATCATTCTTAATGTTTTTATCCTGTCCCCACTTTAAATGTATAGGTGCTGAGGTGCATCACTGCTTTGAATGAAGACCCTGCAATTCATGGATTTATAGTACAATTGCCTCTCGAGACAGATCAACCCATCAGTACAGAGAAAGTGACCAATGCTGTTGCCCCTGAAAAAGATGTAGATGGGTAAGCTGATTTTTGCAGTTGGAGGGTAATTGTTTTTGCATACAACTTGCTCTCTTTCCTTTAAAACTATCTGTTTAAAATAAGGATTCTAAATTTAACAAATAACTTTAAAATATATAAATGTTGGTGTTATGGAATAACAGTTAGTGTAACTTTAAGATCCTATTCCTGGCACATACATACCATTGTCCCCTCCCTTCATATACTTTAGGTTAACTAGCATCAATGCTGGGAAACTTTCCAGAGGTGACCTTGGAGACTGCTTCATCCCCTGTACACCCAAAGGATGCATGGAGCTTATCAGGCAGACAGGTAAGTAATTAAAGTATATTTGAAGGACTGATGGTTCTCCGTAGTCCTGTCCTCATTATTGATGAGTACACTGTGTGTCAGTCCCTTGATGAGCTGTAAAATTACACTTAGTGTGCAGTATATGATAGCCTTTTCTAAAAGCACTAGTTTTCCTTGAGGTGCCAACCCCTGTCCCTCTGCCTTCTTAAAGCTCTTCACCTTCCACTTCTTGACCTTCAAAGCCCCATTGCGTGGACAGCTGTGTTTTCTAGCCAAGGATGACTAATTTTGACTTTCCTAAGAGCCACAGCTGGATCCATGCTGACTAATGGCTCTGGAATAAAGTTCAATTAATTGGCAGCTGGGATGTGCCCAGGTTGTTTGGACTGCTAACCTAAAACCGAATCTTCTTATGTTTCAGGCATCCAAATTGCAGGTAAAAAAGCAGTGGTGGTTGGACGCAGTAAGATAGTCGGTGCTCCAATGCATGACCTTCTACTGTGGAGCCATGCAACTGTAACCACTTGCCACACAAAGACTGCGGCACTGGCTGAGGAGGTAAGGATAAGGTGTTTATTTAAACCCTGTACAATATATACACATGCCTGTCTCTTTCCACAAATGAATTTTCAAAAAATAAGATGAAAAAAAGCCTGTACTTCAGAAGCTTCTATTAAGATTAACGCCCAAAAAGCTTTTCACGGAGGTCTTTAAAATTGCTCATGAGACTGGTCCCATTTTCCTGCTCAACAGCAAGAGTAAATCACAGCAATGGTGTGGTGGCAGTATTGACACCTACTTGGATTTTTCCAGACAATTGGCATGCTTCAGCAGTCAGGCAAAAGAGTGGATGTGTTTTAATGTGTAACAGATCAGAAAAGCTGCAGTGCTCTATAGTACTGTAAAACAGGACTCGGGTATTCCTATGGTGTTTAAAGTGGGAATAACAAAACTGACCCAACCTCACAAGGTTGTTAGGCTTATTAATGGTTTAAGTGCAAAGTATTAATAAAATCTCAAATATAAATTTTCTCCCTTTTAATATAAAGAAAAATCAAAAAGATAACTACTTCCTATGAAAAACTAGATGGGGTGAAGGAAGTATTGAAATGACCCTCATAACAGATTTCTGTTTGCATCTTTAACTATAGAGCTTTGACTAGGTCTGCCAGACTTAGCAATATGGTCTAAGTGAGCGGTCATGCCATATTACAGTGCATTTTGTGTTACAACCTCATGAATGTTAAAAGAATAAATCCATAATTAATAATGATTTTGAGCCAGAAGACTGGATTGCTAACACTGGGTGGTTTAGAGGCCTGTGCAGGAGGTATGGTTGATGGCTTTCTGAGATGTGCTGGCTCTATCTCCAACCAGCCTACTTTGAAAAGAATAGCTCTGCTGTAGGAAACTCTAGAGGTTAACTTGAGGAGAAGAAAAGAATGTACGGTAGTGTTAAGCATGGGCTGGAACATAGGGTCCTTGCCTGGGAATCGGGACACATGGATTCTACTCCCACCTCTGCCACTGACCTGCCGTGTGACATTGAGCATGTCACTTAGCTTCTCTGTTCTGCCCCCTTTGTCTCCTTAGGTTATAAGCTCTTCAGGGCAGGGATTCTCTCTCACTATATCAGTGTACAGTGTATGTGCCTGCCCCAATGGAGTCCCCCTCCTGGTTGGAGCTTCTGTGTGCTATTGTAATACCAACAATAATAATAGATATAACTCTGACCTGCATTAACAAAGATGAATGGTTATAAAGATCAAATAGAGTCAGCATGAGGTGGAAAGGTGACCTCCAGGTGCTCCTGATTTAACTCCATGCCTCTGAATTCAGTCACGAGGTCTTCACAGTAGCCATAGAAATATTTCCTTCCCACCCATCCCTGGGCTTCCAGGAGGATTTTTGTTTTGTGTTGGGGACACTGTTGCTTTTTTGAATATGCAAATGACTAAAAGTAAACCGAAAATGACCTGCTTTGTATCTGCTGTAGTGACACAGAGATATTTTGATAGGTTAGTAAAGCTGATATCCTGGTGGTTGCGGCTGGTAAACCTGAAATGGTAAAAGGGGAATGGATTAAACCCGGTGCTGTAGTAATAGACTGTGGAATCAACCATATACCAGGTAAGCATGTGTGTGGGGGTGGGGGGTATTACACCGTTGCTGCGTCTTGCTGGAGACCTCTACTTAAACTTGAAGGACTATTGTCTTGAAGCATAATATAACTTGCAAACCACTGGAGGGTCTGGCAGAAAATCAATTAGCTATGGATTTTTGTCTAAGGGTTAATTTAACTACTTTTTGTCGCTTGTAAAGAAGAAACAGATGGTTTGGCTCATTCTGGTTTTTTCCCTTCATTTTTAATCCAAGTTACAGGTATTACATGATATGGGAAATTAGTCACAGTCAAGCTGTCATCATGCCTACGCCCACAGGGCTTTTAAGAAGGTAGTTGTATAATTGATCAGTCATTTTGTTGCAATGTAATTATCTAATGGAAGGTAAAGACATTTCTCGCCTACAGCTCAGCTGTCTTACCTCTTGCAGATGACATCTGAGTTGTTGTAGTTAAAAGCATTAAGTCCTCTGCTTAACACAAAACTGCCCTTGCTGTTGGTGGTGGTTTGATATATCTGTGCCGAGCCACCCAAACGTTGGCCATCTGTCAGGAACCATGTTTGATATGCATAAAACAAAGCAGATTGCAGCCTCCCCTGTTAGCATGTTGCAAATAGAAATACCATTGTGTTCCTGGTATCCCACTGTTTTGCCATCGTTCAAGAGCTTGTTTGGACTGCATGTCTGAGAAGTTGGTCCCGATTTCCTTGATGATCACTTTAGTCTTTCTGACTTTAGAAAGGTTTGAACCTAGCATAGAATCACCTGTGGCAGTTCTATAGTCTGGCGCACTTGGGGAGATATGAGGCTTAGCAGATAAGCGCTTTAAAATGTATCCTGTGGAAATATTCCGTATTGAACACTTCCTGGCCCTGGTTTCCCAAGGGTTCCACAGCATTTCCCTAGGGTTCTTTTTAAGCCTGTGATGAGGAGGGGAGAAGTAGGAGAAGCTTTGCAAAACTCTGTAGCTTCCTCCGGCTTCTCCCCTCCTCATCACAGGCTTTAAAAGAACCCCAGGGAAATGCTGTGGAGCCCTTGGGAAACCAGGGCCAGGAAGTGTGGGATCATGATGCTAGAGGGGAAACAGTGGCTGCTTTGTCAGCTTCTCCAAGAAAAGCTCTTCCCAGGGTATGCTGCTGCTTGCCCATTGTCTGAGATTAACAGAAGTCCTGTGCTCTGAATGCTAGGTAGAAAGTAGCACAAACTGGCCTCCAGTGGATGTAAGTGTTTCCGGCTAGATACCTGCACAGAATGTGAATTGCAGCTCTGGGACTGAGAGGAAGCTGTTTAGCTTCAGCACTGTATTATAACTGGTCTCCCTCGGTGGAGAGGGCTGAGATACAGCAAATCCTGGCCCAAGGGATGCAGATGGGGGAGTGCCCCCTCATCTGCATTGTTCCAGCCCTGCAGAAATCCTCTGTTCTGTGTGGGGAGGGGAAAGAAGAGCAGTACTGGGGGTGGGCCACAGAATCAGCATAGTCTTTGCCCTCTTTCCAAAAAATCCCACAGGGGACTCTTGCTTACACTGCTTCCTTTCCACAGTTTGGAACCCGCCATTTAAGGGGTAGTTTTAGATCCTAGGGAGCCTCTGTTTGTGTGGGATGGAAGAGCTGGAAGATGGAGGTGTATCAGAGATCCCCTGTGTTGGGTGTCCTTGAGCCTCAGTAGACTACTTGGAATCCATGATTTTAGGGATTGGAACTCCAGGTTGCTTCAGCGAAGGAGAAGACAAATCAACACCCTGCCCTGGACTGCTAGGGCGAAATTCAAGGAAACATTGAGTAGATGATTGCATGTCCCTGTGCAGAGCTAACCCCCTGGGGAATCAGTCTGGCCCTGTGAAATTGTACAGCAGTAGCATCCAACAGCAAATATCTTTACAACTGACTTCCAGAAGAAGAGCTTTGTGTGTAGGTTGAAACCATGTCTCTTTTACCAACAGAAGTTGGTTCAGTAAAAGATATTGCCTCACCCACCTTGTCCTTCCAGATGTTGAGTCTTTTATCCTGACGTGAGCAGTTCACTTTCAGGTGTACAGATTTCACTGTGTACTCTGGGAAGGAGCCTTGTAGTCTCATATCTATAAAATGCCACCATTTAGTTTCTTTGACCTCTAGCTATTGAACGTTTTTGTCCTCTGATATTTTAACAGTGAAGAAAATCTGTTGTATGTTTAGGAAGATGCAGCGTGTGTGTGTGTGGGGGGGGGGGGGGGGGTTAGATGATGACTGGGGGAGAACAGCCAATAAAAGATCCTCTAACTGACCACTTCATGGAGCACAAGAGGGAAAATATTTTAAAGCTGGTAAAATAGTCACCATTTCCTCTTCATTTATATTATCTTGCAGACTTAGCTTCACAATGGAGAATAAAATGTGCTTCTCTGCCTTGCCTGTGTATCGGACACAGATTAGGATGTTTTGTTTTGAGTGCATAATTTATCAATTGTTTGATTTTGTTCTCAGGCACTGAGGCTTTGTTGCTGGTATGATTTGTAGTCATCCTTGGCATCCTTAGAAGAAAATGTAATTACATTATTTGCCTTTTGCATTCCTAATCAAGTTGCCCTTCAGAATGGAAGGTTGAATTATTCTGTAGCTCAGGCAGCAAGTCTGCAGATTACTAACAGTTGCTGTAGAAACAGGATTTAACAGCCATGACATGGTTCAGGCTTTGAACAGGAGAAGGAAGCTTCTCACTTAACACACACATGTAGCAAAACTTCAGAACTGCTAGTTGTCACTAACAGTGGTTGTAGAATTAGTGTTGACTTTAGTTGCTTTTGTTTTTTGACTTCCCTTTCAATTTTTCAGTCTCCTGTTTTATATTTTTTTTCATAGTATTTGTTAAATCTTTTGATAATATTCTGTCCAACATTCCTGTTGGACAGCCACATTGAAGTGCATGGAGTTGCACAAGAGCAACCAAGGGTGAAATGTGGCCCTCTGATTATAATACTGCTTAATTGAGATTTCTTTCTGGTTTAATAAAAAATTAAACATTTCTGATTTCTTGCTTTGAGATAAACTGGGACGTGTAAACTTCTTTCAGACCAGATGTTTACATCCCTCTTCATGTAATGTCCTCTGCGTTCTAAATCACTGACATTAACATGCACCACTCTTGCAGCGAAAGTGCAAGCCACCATTTTGGTGTCCTGCGCCTAAAATTGAGTCCCTCTGCTGAGTAAATGAATGAGCTCTGTCTCCAGACAGGTGACTCTCCCTGCAAACCTCACTTAATGCACATTGAATTAAAAAAAAATACGAACACATATTGGATTCTGGACCATTTATTTATGGGAAAGGGCAGGGGTGTGTGTGTGTGTGAGATTAACCTTTGCCAAATAGAGAAGAGAGACTTATTAGAGAAATAGAAATTTAAGATGTTTAAATGGAGGAGGGGGATTAAGTTGTATTTCAAGTTTAATTTGACTGGACACTGATCTATTGATACTGCAGTATTGCTTGCCAACTGTTTGAACAAAGCAAGAAACTTGGTGTGGGGGAAATGGAAAACTCTGTCCTCTCTCTAAAGAGTGGTGAATTTCTTCTATGTAAGTCAACCAGTGTATGGCATGATACTTACTCGGAATGGTTGAAATTGAAGTGTAATTTGTGTTATAAATTGGGCTATTAGTATTCAGTTTCAGCTCCTGTGTCATTTATAGCATGCTGGCAAGATTAAATGTTCTACCTAATTCCATCACATATTTTTAAGTCATGTGCCACACTTTATAGTATGTAATCACTTAAGTGCAGAAGAGATCAGAGCCTCGGCTTGCTCTGAAATGCAGGAAATCTAATTTAACCTAAATATGAAGAGCAAAGGGAAATGTACAGCTTCTTATTACTGGAAAACATGTTCCTCCTCCACCCCTCACTGCTTCCAGTGTGACTGAAAGCTGTACTTGCAATTCAGGTCAATTTCCGACAGCTGTGTAGTGGGCTAAATGATTGGTGGGATCACCCCTCAGCTTCCCCTCCTGCTCCCACAAAGCCAGGACTTTGTGAGCACATGGTCCCTCCCTTCCTTTCCCTTCCCAGAAGCACCATGTGATCTGGAGCCTTCTATGAAATTTCCCAGGTTCGTGTCCCTTTAAGGAAGCCCCAGCACCCTCAAGGAAGTAGAGACTGCCTGTGTTCTACCTGGTCTCTGGGTAGACAGTGCTATTGATCCAGTCTGACTTCACAGGCCCTAAAATTACCCTTTGGGAAACAAAGAAATCTAGCATTTTCCAGCTTGATTATTTTATCTCTTTTGCTGCTTGCCGTGTGGCTGAACTTTTATTTCGATGTGTGCGAGCCCTCGTCTGAGTGGGAGTTCAGCCTCTTCTTTGTTTCAGTGAAATGCTCTGTGTGTAACTTTATCTCTCCCTCCCAGACAGTACAAAGCCCAATGGGAAAACGGTAGTAGGAGATGTGGCTTACAGTGCAGCGAAGGAAAGAGCTTCGTACATCACCCCCGTCCCTGGCGGTGTTGGACCGATGACTGTGGCCATGCTAATGCAGGTATGTGAGCTATAGACTGACTGTGTCCTACCTGTCCTTTTTATGCGTTTGTCTGACTAGCCAACTAACACACAGTAAATAACAGTGGGCATTTCTGGGGGTGGGTGAGTGCCTGGGTGGAGTTAGGCTGTGTGCCACTGGTCAAGCATCCCACAGAAATGCCCTACGCTGCTTTGTGTGTACGCTACTTGTGTGTGTTTGAGGTTTTGTTCGCTGCCTCTTGGCTTGACTTCACTGACACGCATCATGTTACCTAATGGGGTTTGTCTCAAGAGTTGAGGGATTTCCACTGTCACTAGCCTGGTGTCTTGCATACCCTCTTCCTGACGCTGTGCAAAGCAATCCAGGTTTGTAGTGGGCTTAATTTGCTAGATTCCTGACAGAGGAAAGTTGTCCATTGTCTCTCTCCCCCCTGCCCTCTCTCCGGAGGAGAGTTCTAACAGTGCAAGGGGACTGCAGCTCCAGCTTGTTGGGAGATGGCTCATGACTCCCAGGAACAGGGCTGGATTTAGAGATGGGTGACTGCCTGGGGCGCCAGACGTGGGGATGCACCGGGCTTGAGGAGCTGTTTTTGTTAGCAGCAAAAGGGAAAAGAGAATGTTTAAAGTAAAATGTTTCAGGTATTCTGTACGTGGATTCCCTTTTCACTAACCTCCTAGAACATTCTGGACCTTTGTAGAATCTTGTGGAACCTTCCAGATTTTCTGAGAACTACACTTTTCTTGAATCTCCTGGAATGTTGTCAGTAATGCCCTTGTGGGTATATAGGGGGCGGGGAGTCACCAGTCAGTCAGTGGAATATAAGAATGAAGTAAGAGCCCCAGCTGCGATATTGTGAACCTTGTTTTACTGTGTAATTGTGAAAGTGTACTTGTGTGTTAAGACTTGAAGAGTGTAAGTAGTGACTAATAAAGGACATATTTAATGAGAAGCTATGCTTCAGTTCATGAGGTCAAAGGCGAGAAAAGTGACCTTTTGAACTAAAAGACTAGGGTTAACGTTCTAAAGCTGTCACCTACTGTAACCCCATTTAATACTGGTCCACCCGATCTTGGTGCCCAGTTCAATTTCTTGATGTTAGTACATTTCAGTTATTCTTAAAATTAAAAAGTTTCTATAAGCTTAGAGGAAACATTTTTATTTGCTTATACATGGCATGAATAAATACAGATGTACAGATCCTAGTGTACGAATTTATCATCTCATATGACAGGGATAAGTCATGCATGCACATTGTGCATCAAAGTCATGAAATGGGCTACAAATGCAATAAAAATAAAACATTCAAAAGTTTAACAAATGGAGGGTGGGGTGCTGAAGGTGCTCCTTGCCTGGGGTGCCATTTTTTCTAGGGCCGGCCCTGCACAGGAACCCAGAGTGCCTGGAAAGTGGGATGAACAGCTTCGCTGGTGGGGCTCTTAGGGAGTGCTAGCTGTAATTTTAAAACAAGCCATGCGGTGGCCCTAGAAAGAGAGCAGTAGCACAGCACTTGCCTTCAGAGGTTGCTCTAGACAATCAGCCACCCTAGGCAAAACTTCACGGGGCTGCCTAGAACAGAGATTCTCAACTGCAGGGGGGAGACAGGGGTGTAGGACTTTCTAGGGGGTGCAGCAAGCCTTCTGATGGTTTGGCGGTTATGATAGGGGGCAAGTGCCAGGTCTCAATGACACTTAAATATGGCTTGGCTGCCCCTCTGCCAAGACAGAGGTGTGCAGCTGGGTCAAATTCGAATGAGTGACATTGCAACCGGGCGCACAGGGTTACAGTGCTGCTCAGGATTGGCCCCACCACTCTAGGCAGCTGACTTGTTTGCCTAAAGCTACTGCAGCCCCGCCTGATTTCGGGGAGGGGAGAGGGGGCAAGGGAGGGGGGGAGGAAACAAGTCCAGTGTAAGCATTTTAAAAGTCTCCTTGAGAAATTTAAATAAATGCTTTAATCAGAGGTTTGCATTGGTTGCTGTCTGGGATAGAAGGGAGGGGGCTGGGCAGTCCTTTCTGGACCTGTGTTTACTAACCAACGTGTTGCAACGTCTATGGCTGTAAACTGAGCCTTTTTATACCTGTTCAGAGCACAATAGAGAGCGCACAACGATTTCTAGAGCAATGCCAACCTGGGAAATGGAACATCCAGTACAACCAGCTCCGCTTACGGACTCCTGTGCCAAGGTAACACTTTAAATAAACTACTGCTGTCTATCTTGTAACGTCGTGTTTCTGTTCTGTTTTCTCTGGGACTGTGTATGGGAATTCCCATGGCAGGTTTGTACGCAGGAGGGTAACTACTTGAGTTCATTCTAATTTTTAAAATTCCCAGTGTTTTGCAGAGGAAAGCATTCCTGTCCAATCCTGCAGAGTGACATGTGCGACCAGGCTCCTTTACCTGTCTGAGCCGCATCAGTGGCATCAGGGCTTCAGACAGGCACACAGGTCCACCTGCACACATCGCTCCAGAACAGAGGCCTCGTTGCGTACAACGATGCAATTTATAGTATTGGCCAATACGCAGGTGGCAACATCGTAGTTTTTAAAATATGGATAATTGTATGATAATGCCAAGCTGCTTTTAAGGGCAATGATGCTGTGTCAGAGCACTACTGCTCGCACTTACATAGTCATTTACACATGGAGACCTCCGTTCAGCAAGGTATTGTGTATGGCCATCGGTCACATTGATGGACTTCAGTGGGACTTAAGCATGTGCTTAAATATTTTCCTGAATCCGGGCCTCAAAGCTCTGTACAAATGCGAATCTTCTCAGCCCTCTTGCGAGGCAGAGACTGCTAGGGCCAGTTAGATGTATAATGGCTGAAGCAGCAAGTAGCAAGATGCTTTCCTTCACCTTGAGAGAGCTGAAGTCTGAGATAGCAAGAGCACCTTGGGATAAGAGTTGTTGGGTTAGAGCTCCTGCTAATAACCAACACTTGAAAGTGTTTGAAATGTCACAGGAAAGACTAGAAGATTCCCAAGTAACAGGCATCAGTAGCAAAGCTGCCTTGGGAGATGTCCTTACCCGTACTACAATGGGCTGAGAGGACCTCCTTGGGCAGATTGACTTCTTTAGCTGTAAAGCTTAGAGATTTCAGTTTTTAAATTCTACATTGGGGTGCTTGTGGGCTATACCTGTTGGGAAGCAGGCGGTTTCATGCTTCAGCAAATTAGATTCCCCTCCTCTTTTCTTTAAGCGACATTGAGGTATCTCGATCTTGCATACCCAAGCTCATTGGTCATCTCGCTAGAGAAGTCGGCTTGCTATCCGAAGAGGTGGAGCTCTACGGTCGGACCAAAGCCAAAGTTCTGCTGTCTACTCTCAAACGCCTGAAGGACCAGCCAGATGGCAAATATGTCGTTGTAACAGGGTACGTTGTTCCTTCCTTAAAGGTGATATTGGGGAATATGATGTAGAATTTCTGGAGGAGGGTTTTGGAGTCTTGTTGCTTTGCTTTATAGTTTTAAGAATGTTGGAGGAAACTTGGAGTAATTTCATAGGAATTGGATCAGACCCAGAGTCCATCTAGTTCAGTATCCTGTCTGACAGTGGCTGGCGCTAGAGGCTTCAAAGGATGGTGTAAAACCGCTGCAGTAGGATAAACTGGCTCCACACTTAGTGCTTGTCTACACCGTGCATTTGCCCACAGGAGAGGGATGTAAATTTTAGATTGTGACATGCTAGTATGAACTAACTGGACTGTGTGCACTCTGCTGGTGAGCACTAGAAGTTCCCTAGTTATGTTAACATAGTACTGTTTGAAATGGGACTGTCAATACACACTAAGGAACTTCTGGTGTTCACCAGCAGGGTGCACACAGGCCAGTTAGTGCGCGACACACTTGTGTGAATGAAAATATGCACCCCTCTAATCTGCACCAGTGTAGACAAGCTCTAGGACTCATCCTGAACTCTAACTACAAGAGGCTATCTTGAGCACTGAAGCATGAAGTCTTATATCCCTTCCAAAATATGTGTTAGCGTTAACTCTGATAACTGGATATTCTTATCCATTAGACATCCAATCCCATTTTGAATCTCGCTAAGTTCTTGGTCTCAGGTATTTTATTGCATATGCTGTGTTGTGTATTTTAGCATAACACCTACGCCCCTGGGAGAAGGGAAAAGTACCACTACGATAGGCCTGGCTCAAGCCTTAGGAGCACATCTCCACCTGAATGTGTTTGCTTGCGTCCGACAGCCTTCTCAGGGACCAACCTTTGGCATAAAAGGTATGACTTGGCAGCGTCATATTGATCGCCATTCATGCAGGATAGAAGAGTAGCAGGGAAGGCACATTCAGCCGATGGGTGTTCTAGAAATTTCAACTCTTAGGAGAGAGTGTTTTCTGTTTCTGTATAGAGGTGTGTAATCCCCACTGAGGTCATTTAGGGTTACACAAACATGTGGGGAGAGAATCTGATTTATTTAGGAAGAAAGCAAGTTTTGGATACAGTCAGTGAAATCCAGCGCAGCGTTTAATCATACTTGTTCAATAATAAAGACATTTTAAAAATGGCTAAGCAAATGTGCTCAAAGCTACAGAGGCATTAATGAGCATGGTTTGGTTACTTCCTTCTATGCCTTTTTATAGGTGGAGCTGCAGGTGGTGGATATTCGCAGGTTATCCCAATGGAGGAGGTAATTTTGACACAAGACCTTATTGACTGTGTAATGTTCAACTGTGCTGAGAGCGGCTGTAGTCAGTTAACTTCTTGGAAATCTTTTGTTTGTAGTGAGATCAAAGTCTAAGAATGGGTATTGACTTTTCTTTCGGCAAAGCTACTTTAAGGACAGAGGGAGTTAATCTTTCATTGTTTTTAATGGAAGGCTGCGTGGGTCAGCGAATAGGGTATAGTGCTGGGAATCAGGAGAACTCGATTGCCTTGCCATTTCTATCACTGACTGACTGCGTGACCATAAGCAAATCATTTTAATTCTATATGCTTCAATATCCCATCTGTAGTGTGGGGGTAACAATGGCCCTCCTTTTATAAGGCACTTTTAGATCTAAGGGGGAAGAGAGTTGAGTAGCACTGTCAGTGACGGTTTACACTCTCAGGAACACACTATTTCTGTATGCTACTTCTACATAATTGTCTGATTGTTAATGTACAGTGGGTAAGGGAAACTCGGAAAGCAGTAAGGCCAAGTCGTAGCAGTGCTAGTGGCCAGCACATTAGACAGAAATATGCAGTGTGATATGGCGGCAGCAGCAAAGGTGATGTGGTGGGTTGGGTTTTTTTTGTTTTTGTTTTTGTTTTTGGCTGGGGGCAGGGCGGGGCTGCATCCATACACACAGCATTGCAGGGCACGGAGTTAAAAAGCAATGTCTCTTGTGTTATACACCTAGAATATGATATTTTCTCTATTTGCCAGAAATATGGTGACACATTGGAGGGCATTCAAGGAAGATCAGCAGAAATGATAAAGGGATTGTAGGGAACGATTCATGTGTACAGTCCACAAAAGGTGTAAATGTGAAGGCAGGCAAAGATTTAGTTAGCATGGTGCTGAGGGGTATATTATTGAATTCAAGGAAGGAAGAATAATCTCCCAATGGAAGCTGTGGAAGCCCGGTCACTTGGGCCACTTAACTAGACTGGCCAAAACGCTTGCCCATATACAATATAAGGAACAATCCTGCTGTGGCTGGAAAACAGACTAGATAGGTAAGATCTCTCTCTGACCTCTGGTATTAAAATCAATTCCAATCTTGTTGGGTTTCTTTTTTTTTTAATCAAAACCTAATTTTTTTTTTTTAAATTGAAAGTCTGTAGAACTATTCATCACAGTACAGGCTCTGAGATATTGGTGGATACCTTTTGCAAGCAATCTCCGGCCCAGGAAGGGCTTAGCCAGTAGAGAACATTAAAACAAGAGGTGCAAAATAAGGCAATAAGCAATGGCACATATTTGTATATTAGAATAAGATTGCATCTGGTGATTAGTACAAAGCTGAAAAATAGAGTAACTGACACTGGATAGCTTTCTCTGTTTTAAAGACTTAGTAACTGAGGTTTCCGGAGTCTATGGGATTAAGATTTTATGGCTCTTGCTGTCATCTCTTCTGACTTTTCTAACACCATCTCCCTTCTTCATTTCACTCCTGCTATGCATAATTGCCCTAACTGAATCCCCTTCTCTTCCCCCCCACCCCTCCATTTTTATATGCCAAACGTAGAAGAAGCAGCTGTAAACCTAACCTCTTATCCCACTGTGCTGCACAAATCAGATCAGTTGTCTCAAATGAAGGTAACAACAAAGCAGTATAGCCATGTTTTTCCATCTTTTGCATGAACCTTCTCTTGATGATCCTGGCAGAGCTGGGGGAACTGACTCTTGTATGATAAACTCATTTTGAACACTTAGTTCAGGAAGTTTTGTAAAATGACATAAATGTGGGGGTGGCATGTTTCTGTTTTAGACAAATTCCATCTTCTGTTCCACATATTCCACAGAGCAGTTTCCCCCTGCTGCTCTCCCAGTAACATTGCTATTGATATTTCTCTTTCCATCTGGCTATAACAGACTACCCGTAAAAGAAGGGTGAAATAACTGATGTCCATTTTTTCCTATAGTTTAACCTCCACCTGACTGGTGACATCCACGCCATCACAGCAGCCAATAATCTAGTAGCTGCAGCTATCGATGCTCGTATGTTCCATGAGCAAACTCAGTCTGATCAGGTAAGAGATGATGTAGTTGATTCCATTCTGTGTTGTGTTGAGCACAGTCTATTTTGCCAAGATTTTTTGGACACTCTGCAGCTGCTAATTATATCTCATTCTTCAAGGCTCTTTATACCCGCTTGGTGCCTTTGATCAATGGTGTTAGGAAGTTCTCTGATATTCAGATCCGAAGACTGCAGGTGAGTTGATCAAGCTTATTAGGTTTCTAGTATTGTTCTGTATGCGTCATCTTTACCCTGTGAAAAGATAAATTACAAAAACCTTACATTGGTCTGTTTGTTGGTATTTATTTACACAGCATCCAAAAATGCATTACCCCACAATCCAACTAAAGACATGTCACAGCCCTGTCCTTAAAGAGGTTTCAGTCTAACTTTATATGCTATTCAGTGAATGAGTAAACTACAAGGAAGTTAGGAAGAAACAAGGGCCCCTTATAAATAATCAACTGTTATTTCAGTGTCCTTGATGCAGCATAACTCAGAAATAAATAGTCCTTGCCCCAAATACACAGTCATAACTGAAGATGAACGTTTCCTGCTGTGGTATTTATTGTGGCAGTGAACACAAAAACACAGCCTTCTGAACGTGAGCTGCTGGAAATTGTTTTAATACAAACTGAGCAAAAAAGGAGAGACGTATTTTATTTGCACATTCTGTGTGTCAGTTTTTACATGGAAAAATACTCCATTGAATTCCTCTCCTCTAGCTACACAGCTGTTCAATGGTCATTTAAATGACTAGAACTTGGGAAGCAAATGGAGTCGTTTGTCAGCAAAAAGCATGGGCCACCGTGTGTTCCTGGTCTCTTTAGCAATTCTCTTTCACTGTAGCGACAAGATCATCTAGGTGGTAGGTTCAGGGGAAGTTATTGGAGTTGTCTGCGGGTTAATCAGTTGGCCTACCTATTAACATAGCCTGAGGCACTCAGAATTGTACGACTACTTTTATGTTGTACATCCAGAACAGGTGTCCAATGGGAGGGCAAGAACAACAGTCTCGTTGTGGGGGCTCTACATTTTTGTATCATTAACTGGCTGTAATGTCTCCCATGTGATACTCACATTTGATTGCCAGTTTCAGTCTCTCCTCCTTTGCCGGGCTATGTCAGGTCAAGTGCTCAGGCCTATTATATGGAGTGTTACTGACAGGCTCTGCAGGGAGCCCTGGCCAGTCCCCTGCTGCCGCAGCGCTGTTGGCTGTAATGTGGAGGTGTGAAGGGTGGCAAACGTAGACCTGCTGCCTCTGAGAACCCCTGGCGCTCAGGAGAGCGACACAGGAGAACCTGTCCCTTCTTGCCTCTCTTCTGGTGACATGTAGGACTGTGTTGTCTAAATAAAATGCTTGCTGTTCCTAAATCAGTTCCATCGCTTCACTCATTTCTAAGCTTGTACTTGAATCGGGCTCCTTGAGGTAATGCCTCTCTGTTAAGCATCTTGGCAAATTGCCCATCTTCAACAAGTTCCTGGTCTTCAGGCAGGGCTTTCTGGGATATTGACCGTCTTGTGACTGAATTGTTTAGTGCCTCCTTTGTGCACTGTATGTAGCATTCTGAAGAAGCAGTGTTTTAATACTTATGGCAGTGTGCAATGACCCCCCCCAGGTTAAGTAAAGAGAAATGTGTATAAATACACAAAACTGATGATTAGAACCTGGCACGTAAGGTAGAGCTTTGCATGATTTCTTAGGGATGCAGATGGAAGGGGCTTCCCTTCCTCTTCAAAATGTCACTAGCTGTCTTGTACCTGTGTTGACATTGACACTCCCTCTGATGGGAGGGACTGTGTTATATGCATTGCCCTCTGACAGAATTTGCGATTACCTAGTGGCACACTGCTTCAGAAACAGATTCTCCACCCCTGCTTTATGCAGGGAGAAGTAGCTCTCGGGAGGCACCCTCTCCCTCCGTTTATTGCTAAAAATGGGGAAAGCTGCTGTACAAAGGCTCCTCATTTTAATACAGGCTCATTTCCTTCAACCTTTTGACTATTCCTTTTTCCCCTCTCCTCCCCCCAGAAACTGGGTATTGAGAAAACTGACCCCGGGACATTGACGGATGAAGAGAGAAACAAATTTGTGAGATTGGATATTGATCCAGCTACCATAACATGGCAAAGAGGTACCAGAGCAATAGACAGTTGAACTGCCGGATAGGACAAATGTGTGAAAAGAGGGGTTGTAAACGTACAGGGAGTTGTGTTTACTGGCACAACGGGGGGTCTGACATTGTGCATGCTCAGTGGGATAGATTCACTCTTGGGGCTCTTCTTTCAGTCTCAGTCCTAGAGCAGTTGACACAGATGGCTTGAATCTTGATGTGCTCAGGTGAGATTTAGTTAATTGCTACAAAGCTGTATTTCAGACTTTGCCAGTAGCTCAGTGAGAGAATACAAAGATTGGCAGCCCTGGTTAGCTGCCTAGTCTTCCCCATGCTGAGAAGAAGGGAAGTCTTTAGAGCTCCGTCCTGGCACTTGGTAGAACCAGGTTCACTTCCGTGCTCTGACACCAACTTCCTGCGTGACCATGGGGACAGATTTCCAAAGTTGTTTTGCACACGGATGTTGTGGGGATAAATGCAAGACTGTGAGGTGCTCAGATACTATGCTGGTAAGTCCCTAGGGTAGATATGGTACTATTCCTTCCCTGCGAACTCCAACAGGGCTTTCAGCTTCAGCCTTCGCATTACCACTGAGTGGGTCAGGTCTTTAGCTCGCTCTGGTGACCTACGCCAGCTCTGAAGCTGCCCCACTGCCTCTTATTTTTCCTGTCTCAATCCATTAATTTCACTTCTGTGTTAGCTGGGTGGTAGAATTTAATCCAGTCATTCTGTTAGCAGATTTTAAACCTTTTCATTGACCGATTTCACTACTATCCTAGTTGGTTCAGTTACAGCTGCCAGGAAGAAATGATACCTGATTAATTAAAACAGTGATTTTTAATGTCAAACAGCATTGTTTGGACCTTTACTTCCTCTAGAATAGCTTGGAACAGATGGCTTAACTCTGTATTTAATTATTAATTGCAAGAAATGTTTGAGTAACAGTAATTCAGCCTGAATAACTCTTTTCTGAAGTGAATGTTAAACTTCTTCTGTCTGTGGCATTCCATTAAGAAAAGAATGTAGTCTCTTGAGTATTTAAATTGTAGTTCGAACCAGGGTGGATAAAAATCATGTTTTAAATAACAATAAAATCAATTTTGTAAAAAAAATGATTTAAAAAAATTTCATTTTTTTAAAATCAGATTTCTAAAATTTTCATGTTTCTAGTTCTTTATTTTCTTACCATTTTATAGCCTTACAATGCTGAAGTGTGTTTTTTGTACTTTTCTTTAATTAGGCCTTGTCAACACACACAATGCTTTTACTATACTGGTCTAGTTTAACATGCTTTATTCCACTTCTTGTAAAGGAAAAAGCTTTCGTAATATAAAGTACCTTTTCACTGGTATTACTGGATCCACATTAGGGCTTGTATTGGTGTAACCATAGCAGTTAAAAAACAAAAATCACATACACCCCTAGGTGAAATAGTTATACCAACAAAAATCTGTATGTAGATCAAGCCTTGGTAGAAATAACGTCTGCGTAAAATCTGAAATCCTACTACAGTTAGGAACTAAGAAGTTTCATTATCTATACTAAAAAGGCAAGTCCAGAAACTCATAAACATCCTACTGGGAGAATGGTACAAATTCAAACGCAACATTGACAAGCAAACATCCTGTGCTATATTTGCAACCAATCCTGTTTTCTGAGGTATTGAACTTCCATAAGTCAAGGAAGCTGAAATGCTTTGACTAAGTTAATTATTTGTTTTTTGAAAATCCAACACTCAGGTGCCTAAATATGGATTTAGTAGCCTATTTTTTAAAGAGATTGGCCTGTGTATATGCAAAAAGTTGACAGCATCAATGTATTGAAAGTCTAAATTGACTTTTCATTTTTTTAACACTGAAGCAATTTTGCTTATGTTCACAAACATTATACACTGCTCAGAGTGAAGTTTTTAATAAAAATACAAATTTAACCCCTGATGTTATAAACACTTAAGTCACTTACTTAACTTTAAGCACACAAGTCATTTGAGGTCAGTAGTGTGTGTGAGTAGAGCTAAGTGCCTGTTTGCTGATTTAATTTTCAGTGTTTTGGTTTTTTACCTATGGCAGTTCTGTAACGTACAAACAAGGTACCCTACCAATAGTGACAGGTTTTTAAAAAATGCATTTATAAGTTATTTTCTTATAAACTTTATATTAAGATTACATTATTAATTTTCAGTTTAGTTTTTACAAAGGTTTTACAAAATTTTAAAGAAATTTAAAATCACTCACTGACTCAATACCTTAAAATAATCATACTTGGCATTTACATAACGATATTTAGCTGTTCTATAGCACTTTTCATCCATACATCTCAAAGCGCTTTACAAAGGAGGTCAGTATCTTTGTCCCTGTTTTACAGATGGGGAAACTGAGGCACAAAGAAGTGAAATGACTTGCCCAAAGTCTCCCAGCAGGCCAGTGATAGAACTGGGAATAGAATCCAGGTAGCCTGAGTCCCGGTCTGGTTCTCTAGTCAGTGGGTGACACTGCCCCTTTTATATAGCACTTTACATCTTCAAATCCCTGTACAGATATTGCACCCTCCCTCTACCCCATGAGTTCACTGGAAATAACCATTAGCCCAACTTCAGTGGCAATAGCCAACTGTCCTTATGTTACAGGTGGGGGAAATTGAAACAAAGGCAAAACGATGCAGCTAAGATTAGAATTCAGGACCTCCTACCTCAAAAAATCCACGCCCATTCTATAAGAGATGCTTCTAAAACCAGTGTGATTAAAGATCCCAAGTTGTATCCAAATTCATGTTTGCAATCCAAACCCCCGCAGTCAGCAGTAGAGTCCTTTAGGAGGTATTGTAGGAATGTACTTCGCAAATATCAGCAACAGACTGAGGTTCGTGCTTTCCTAGTGCTTTAAAAATATGATCCCTTTGGTCTGTGCAGCAGGCTGGTTAGAATTTTACTAGCAAAAGCAAACCAAAAGTGTTATTGGACTGATTTATTTTAATTTCTTTGATTGAATCCAGACATTATCCTATATCTCTCAGCAATGGGAAGTGAAATGTGTTCTCATATCCGGCTCCCAGAACTTAATGAGACTAACATCATTGGCAATATACTGTGAAGTATTTAAACTTGCAACCAGTTGACTGGAAATAAGAAGTCTGTAGTGAATTCTGAATGAATATTTCTCACACCCAGTTCTGTTACGAAATGCAGAAAGAAAGAACTGTTTGATACTAAAACAGTAGTGTCTGAGCATTTCTTTACTCAGTTCTTTGTGGGTCCTTATTTCTCTCTCTCTCATCTGTTAGTATTTTCCCAATCTCTTGTTGTTGCCTGATGGGGATGAGACAGCCAGAGGGATAATGTCAAGCCCCCTTTAGAGAGGAGGGGTAGTCTTGTGGCTAAGGGACTGGGCTGGGACTGCAGTTGTGGATTTGATTCGTAGATCTGCCAGAGTCTTTATGCAACCTTGGGCAAGTCACTTGAGTTTTCTCTGCTTCAGTTTCCACCTGTAAAATGGGGAGGCAGTGTTGCCTAGTGGATAGAACACTGGACCAGTACTCAAGAGACCTGAATGTCTATTCCTGGCTCTGCCACTGGCTTGCTGGGTGACCATGGACAAGTCACTTTACCTCTCTGTGCCTCAGTTTCCCCATATGTAAAATGGGGACTATACTGACCTCCTTTGTAAATTCTTTGAGATGTAGGAATGAAAAGCGTGATGTAAGAGCTAGATTTTATTAATATTTGATTATAATACTTCTGTTCCCTTTTGTCTTGTGTGCATAAATCGTAAGCTATTTAGGCAGGGGATTGTCTCTTACTATGTGTTTGTACAGCACCTAATACGATGTGCCCCGATCTCGGTTGTGATCTCTAGATACTACCATAATACAAATAAGATGTAGTAATAGCTTGTAAAAGGGCTTTAAGATCTATAGGTTTGAGCGTTGTGTATTTAGTAGTAGTATTTTAGTTTTTTAAAGAGTATGGTCCTTCTCATCACTATCCCTTCTCTTAGGGATGTCAATGTTCTGAGTGACCGAATGGATATCTCAGTTTGAAATCACATGTATTAGCTTAATGTGGTGGTTTCTTTTTTACTCCCTGCAATTCCCCCCTCCCTGCAGTGATGGACACAAATGACAGGTTCCTGAGGAAGATCACTATCGGACAGTCTCCGACAGAGAAGGGCTTCACGCGAACGGTAACTGGTTCCTGCCTCTTGGGGCATTTAACCCTTTGAAAAGCAAGCATGAGAAAAACAATCCCTGAATAAAATTGTCATGTTCACCTCTGTGAGCCTTTCTTCCGCTAGGAATTAACAAATGTGCATTGTGCTGTCTCCCTGTTCAAATGAAGGTGAGAGGATGTGAAGCAGAGCCCCTAGCAGTATTAAAATTCCCACCCCAAAACCTGCCTCATTTGGTTTTAAAATTTGGTCACCAAAAAAGTCTTTCCTTGAACATTGGTTTCATGGTGGACTGGAATGATCTGTGTAGAGTCTCTTTACCTAAAACCAACCCATGCAGAAATATATTTTATTTAGTGCAGCAATAACCATTTACAGCTGTTCCAGGGACTTTGTCTTATAGAGACGAGTAGTTTTTTCCCACATGCTGCAGCATTGAGACCAATTACTTAGATTGCTCTTTAAAATACATTCTGGCATGAAACTTTATACTGGATTTCTGATGCTACATTACTAACCTAGAGAAATACATTTTCATATGATGTTAGTAGAGTAATGTGGTGCCTGTGCATTTTTCTTTAAATTGCAGAAAAACCCTAATTAAACACTATGAACTTTAAGCACTCTTAGTTGTGATACTATAGATCTGTTTCTTTTAAAATGGCAAAAATAAATTTTCAAGAATTCAGTGCAGCTAAAATTTCTGCTTAGCAGCCCTGACACTTCTCTTCTCCCCCCCTCTCCCCCCTTTGTTTGTTACAGGCCCAGTTTGACATCACGGTGGCAAGTGAAATTATGGCAGTCTTGGCACTCACTGATGGACTAGGGGATATGAGAAGACGATTGGGCAAAATGGTGGTAGCCTCTAGCAAGAAAGGAGAGCCAGTGACTACAGATGATCTTGTAAGAGAGCCATATAATTGCTACATCCCTAAATGTAAAACTCTCCTTGTTGCAAGTGAAAGTCCTGTGATGTAAAACAATAAGAAGATGTAAGAAGATGGTTCCACATAGGAGGGGTTGTAGGCTATTGAAAACTAAGGATGAAATCCTGGTCTCATTCACTTCAGTTTGAGTTTTGACTTCAATGAGGCTCAAATTTCATCCTGAGAAGAGAGAGAGTCCCCTTGATGCTAGGGCAGCTGGGAGGCTGTGTGTGTGTGATCGATCTGCTATGTGTCAAGATGAGGTTTCAGCCCTAAGAATTAATGGGGAAATATGCAATGGCAAAAAATACTGTGATTAAGGTGAATCACTCACAAATGGCTGCATTTTTGTAGGAGTACAGGGTCTCCAGAAAACAGCCTTGCAAAAAAATTAAAAAGTCCACTATTTCCCACTAAAAAGAACACTCGCTGTCCATTGCCTAGCAATGTCCTTTTGACACCCACCTGAGCCTACATAGATGTGAGTCATTGCTGAATTTGGAACTATATCTTTCAAAAGCCTCGTTTGCCGAAGGCCACAATCAGCACAACAAGGAGATGCTTGGAAATGTTTCCGTTTATTTCACCTTGTTTGGAATGAGCCCTTCCAGAAAAGTGGCCTCCTGTATGAAAAGTACCAATAAAAAAATCCACCCACTGCACCAATATCTCAAACTAGAAACTGTTACAAATATCTTAATATTAAGGCTCCTCCCATCCATCGTGCCCCACTTTAAATCTTGGTGGAATAGTCACTTTGCAGGATGACCAAAAATTCAGCAGATTTGGGCTCTGCAGATGAACAATTAAGCTAAGTTCCAAAACTGGGCGCCCTTCATTGAAAATGCCCTGCTTGAGGCTTTCAAAGCCCACTAGGGGATTTAGCCACACAGTGTCCATTGAAAGAAATGGGAGCAGTGTGACTAATCCATTAATCAGTTTTTCAAATGTCAACTCCTGCCCCCAAGACTTTCCCAGTTAAACAGGCCTGGCTAGTTCAGAACCTCAGGGAGGGGAGAAAAACGTTCTTGTTACTCAGGCAGAGAGCACTTTGTCAGGGAGGTGCGTTACTACTGGTTGGAATTTGGGTAAAATCAGTCTTGAATTATAATTGTTCTTTACCTAATTGTTGCAAAGTAGAGGATCTCATCAAATCTAACTCACTGCTTCTCTCGGCCATTTGAGTGTCTTCCCCTAGATTTGGCCGGCCCAGTCTCACAATGTAATGCAGTAAAGACACACGCATACCTCCTCATGCCTCTGTAGGCCTTACACAGGCAAAACTCTAGCTGACTCAGTGGGAGCCTTGTCTGCCCAGGCCCTTCAGACATGGCACAGACAGCAGCAATGATATCACTGTTCTGTCTGGAAGTTTGAAAGTTAGAAAGAAATTTTGGAGCAAAACTTAATGGCTACAAGTTCCTCGTAGGATACAAAGACAGTCGAGGAGTTTGGGGGGAATAGTTAGAACTGTCTAAGGGTCCATTGAATTATACAGAAGTCTAGTATCAGTAATATTGCTTTGCAGTTTTTCATTATTTTCTTCTGGAGCTGGGTAAAATTAAAATTAATCTATTAAATGCGAACAAAACCTTCTCAGAGTGAGATTGAAACAGGAATTAAATGAATCGGTATGTCTTTTTTTTTTTAATAATTGCAAATTCTCCTTGTGTATTATTGAATACTACAATCCAGCTGAGAATAAAATTGTCTCAGTGAAAGAGACCGGAAGGTTCAAGGGACTGATGATGGATCTTAGCTCACTTGTTCAAATCCAGTCATTGGTGGTAGTGACTTAAAATTGTTACTGCCAGGGCTTTGTAGTGGTCTCAGTTCAGTTCCTAGTGGACTGGTGTCAGTCACAAAAACGCCCCTCTCCAATGACTCTAATAGATGGGGAATGTGCATGAAGATAAGGTCACTCACTCCCCCTTTGCAGGCATCAGAAGGATTGAGGCTCCAGGGTGGAGCAGTGAGCTACTGTTGCCCATGCTGAGCCTATTCTGTGGATAAATAGAAGACTTCAGACTCCAGTGAGGACAATTGGGCACTTCTCGCAAGCACCAAAATTCACTTAAAAAAATTGTTTCTGCCAGACAGACCTGGCCAGAATGTGGCAGTTGGATGCATTAGTTCTGAGGCCAGTAAATATAAATTTAGATACAAAAGTGGGAAAAAAAATACATTAAAGACATGGAGATTTTTTTTAATATCTTAAATGGGATTAGATACCGTCAATGAAAGGAAATAATGCTGTGACTGAAAGAGAAGCTGAGGCAGTTAGCACAATACACTGTTTCCACATGAGTGTCTTATTCACTGCAGTGATCTCCGCCCTGTTGCATGACTAGACCACATGGCCCACCGAAGAATGCTACATTGAATCGTGAAACTGGTACATCAGTAAGTGCTATTAGCTCTGTTCTTTGAAGGATCACCATAATGGAGGAAGAGCCTGGGTGTTGACTAGGAATTTCAGAATGGTACGAACACAGCCTTAGTAGATCTTGGGAATTGATGTTCTGTTCTCCTTTGTTCCCTTAGGGAGTGACTGGTGCTCTGTCTGTCTTAATGAAAGATGCAGTGAAGCCAAACCTCATGCAGACGTTAGAGGTGAGCAATACACTCCTTCATGGACCGCTTCGGTATGTACATTCACTAGACTGGCAAACTCAAAATGAAGCCTGGAAAAGCTGATTTAATTGCAAAGCTTTAATTTCATTTGATGCCTGTAAAAATGGATCTGCCTCTCTTGTTCATTCTTTCAAGCAATAGTTGGGGGATGTGAAATGTTTCCGGTTTGTTTGTTTTTTTGTTTGGTTGGTTGGGTTTTTTTGTTGTGTTTTTTGTTTGTTTGTTTGTTTTTTTTAATTAAAGGGAGGAAATTTTGTGTCTGTTAGTCCAGGGGAAGGGCGCTTGTCCCCAAGGGCTTTGGGGTTGCCGGAAGGAACTCTCATGCCAGCTCCCAGTGACTTGATCTCTTCTCTCCTCCTACCAATGCTTGGCACAAGGTTCTCCAGCAGAATTTTTGTAAAGGGGACTGTGGTTTGGGGTGAAGGAGCAGATGTGAGACCTATGATCCCATGTCCAGTCTGAGTACCTGCTGGTTGTTACAGTGGAACAAGGGGGAGCTAGAGTAAGGGGGATCAAGGAAGTGCAGCTTCCTCTCCTCTGCTGAAAGCAATGGGGAGCTCCCTTTTCTCTCCCTGGCCTGGGGTAGCAGCGTCCCCTGCAGCTCCCCCTCCTTCTTGGCTGGCGCACCGAGAGCCCCCACTCTCCGTTTCTGTCTCCTTTCACCACTGAGTAGAGCACAAGATGATGATGATTTATCTGTATGTTTTCTCACCCACATCCAGTTGCTACATTTTACTCCGCCCACCCCCTACCCACAGTTTGAGTAAATAAATAACTGAACATTCTTCTTCGAGTGATGGTTCCTGTTGTATTCCACTGTGGGTTACGCATGCGCCTGGAGCTGGGGGAATTTGAAAGTAGTGTCCATTGGTCCGTGCATGTGCCCTAGCTCACCTCGTGCCTTGGATCGAGAGGATAAAGGGCAGGGCAGGGCGGACCAATCACCTCTCCAATTCCTTCTCATCACCACTTGGTTCAGGTCGGAACTGCTCTGTGTCCGTAGCTTCAATCTCATCCCTTAAAATATGATTTACCTTGCTAAATAGTTTTGGCATTTTGTACAGTTCATAGTTTTAGTGTTAGATTAATTGTTGGGGGTACTGAACTATGGCAAAACTCCAGATTTCACACTCTGTGCTTCTTGCCCACAATCTTCTTGATCAGCAACGATCACCAATGCCACATCTCAGCAAGGTGCAGTATCTGCCACTCCTTTCCCATCCATACCCAAGAAGGGTGGGAACTCCACCTCCAAACATACCTTATGGAAATAGTTGTGAGCCCTCAGTCGGACCCAGGCCAGGGAACCTCCCTGTACATTTGTCTGACTCAGCAAGGAGTGAACCTCCTGCTGCTAAATCTGACATTGGTGCCAGAGAATCTGCCTCCATAGACCCCCTGTGGTGGGATCTTCTCAGGATATGTATGAGACTACATCTTCCTCAAAATACATTTCAAAGAAGTCGGACTGGGCTCTGAGCAAGCCCAACACTTCAGCCCAAGAGAACTTAGTGTGTCCTAAGTCCCGAGGCTTGATGAGAAAGTCCATAAACATTAGGCTCCATCGGTACTGTCATCGGCACCTCCCAAACCTCTGGATCTGTCAGCGCCGTTGAAGACTGTTCACTGACTATCCCGGCACCGTCCTCGTCAGCACCCTCTCTGGCTCTGATAGTCCGGACAGAGACACAATCCCTCTCAATTCGGGAAGAACTGGGTCCCGTGCACTCTGGAATCCCCTTTCTCAGGTCCATTCCTTTCCAGAGATGTTGACTGCTTGAAGAAGTTTATCGCCTGGTCCTTCCTCGAGATGCAACTTCCCTCCAGCACCACCGCCTCTAGAACAGGAATCCGTTTTCTCCTCATCGGGAGACACCGATCCAGAGGAGCCTTTGTTTCCTTACCTTACATCTCCTCCGCCACCCAAAACACTTGCACCACCTTGGAACCAACCTCCGCATTTAGCTCTGAGCCACTGGCGCTCTGTGACATGGGAGCCTGCACGTCACCCTTTCAACCCTTCCTACTGGCTATATTGGGGGCCCTGGAATCGGGCAACCCCCTGCAGAGTCGGTCAGGTTTGCTAGAGAGTCACTCCTTTCCTCCCCTTGAAGGAGGCACTCAGATCTCCCGCATGGATCCTTCCGAAGAGGAAGAGCAAAACACACCAGATTCGGCGGTTCTGCCAGAGCCAGCAAGACTGCCATCATCCTCTCCGGAGGAAGCAGTAACCCCTGTGTCTCCCCCTCCCTGCTGAGTTCAGGCAGTTCTAGAATTATCTTCATAGAATTGCTGGCAAACTTCAGATTCCTGTGGAAGCAGTTCAGGAATCCCAGCACAAACTCCTGGACATCCTCTACCCATCTGGATCCAACAAAATAGTGCCCCCCTGTTAATAAGGCTACAATGGAGCCAGCTAGGGCTGTTTGGCGCACTCCTGCTACCTGCGCTCCAGCCCTCAAGAGGGCTGGAAAGTGCTGCTATTAAGTGCCAGCCAAAGGGTCTGAGTTCTTGTTTTCTCGATCCTCTCCCAGTTCTTTGGTAGTCCAAGCGGCTTCTGAAAGGGCTAGACAGCAACATCCCTGATCTGCCCCTGTTGACAAAGAAGATATGTCTGGACCTACTGGAGAGAAAGGTCTTTTCGTCATCTAACCGCCCGCTCAAGATAGCCAAATATAAGGCACTACTGGCCAAATATGACTTCTTGAACTGCTCCAAGTTGGTGTAGTTCACTAACAGTCTGCCACAACAGGACAGAGCATGTTTCCAGGTGTTGATAGATGAAGGAAAAGTGGTAGCAAAGACTGCTCCCCAATATGCAGTCTATGCTGCGGGCACTTCCTCTAGAGTCTTTATCCTCTCAGTCGGAGACACAGGGTGAGCCAAGGCTCATGTGTGAGCCAACGGACACCGCTTTCAAATTCTCCGGGCGCATGGTGCACATGTGTAACCCATGGTGGAACACAGATAGGGGCCACGCATCTTGAAGAAAGAAGCTCCAGTTACTGGTAAGTAACTCCTCTGTGTAAGGAGGGCTGGAGAGGACTTCCCTAGAGCCAGTCACCATGGTGCCTGAATCACTCAGAGTCATTTCCTTACCCCTCTTCCCCTTTACCTACACAACCTCTTTACACTCACATACACACATACCCAGAGTGGGTCTGCAATGCGTCTGGGAGCCCAGGTCCATAGACTTGTGGTGTTGGGGCATAAGAGCCCAAGCTCCAGTCTGAGCCACTAGCATGCCGAGGCTGGGAGGCTTGCTCCCAGCTACAGAATAGCATACCCCCAGAGACCAGGAGCCTCCAGGATGATGCATTCTCTGCTTGCTAGGTTCAACTCTTACATTTTCTAAACAAAAACCAGTGCAGGTTTATTCTGCTTGGAGCTGGGAGATAGAAGATGCAGCCCAGTCTAGTGACTAACACACTGGTCTGGGAATGGGGATTCCTGAGGTATGTCTACATTGCAAATAGATGCCCGTGGCTGGCCTGTGCCAGCTGACTCAGGCTCGCAGGGCTTGGGCTAACGGACTGTTTAATTGCAGTGTAGACATTTGGGTTTGGGCTACAGCCTGAGCTCTGGGACCCTCCCACTTTGCAGGGTCCTAGAGCCTGGGCTCCACCCTGAGCCCAAATGTCTATACTGCAATTAAATAGCCCCTTAAGCCAAGCCCTTCAAATCCGAGTCAACTGGCACTGGCCAGCCGCTGTGTTTTAATTGCAATGTAGACATATCATTGGGTTCTAATCCCAGCTCTGCGATTAGCATGCTGCATGATCTGAGGCCCAGATTTTTTTGGAGCCTAAATCAGTTTCAGAAAGAATTAGGCACTTAGGAGCCTAAATCCCATAGACAGATCTGGGCCTTAGTGACTTGCCAAGGTCATGCAGCAAGTCAGCAGCACGGCTAGGATTAGAACCCAAGAGTCCCCTTTGCCAGACCTGTGCTTCAGTCACTAGATTGCACTACCCTTTCTATCTCCCAGCCCCAAGCAGAATAAATCTGCACTATTTTTTGGTCTGGAAAATGTAAGAATTGAACCTGAGCTCAGCAGCACCTAAATACCTTTAAAAATGTGGGCCGTAATCTTTCTGCCCGAGTTTTCCTGTCTGTAATACTTGGACGATAGAATGTTTGTGAAATGTTTTGAGAGCCTCTGACGGAAGGTGCTACAGAAGTGAAAAGTATTGTTATAATTTAACCATCTCTTTCTTGGGAGGATTAATATCTCCACTTCTGCAGATTATTAAAATAATTTTTGCTTCAGATTCTTACTACTGGGAATGAACGTTTGATCAGAAGGCTTTAAGAACTGCTGTTTGCCACAAGTGTATTTTTCTCAACCTCAAATGCTGTGGTCCTTAGCCTTGCAAAGTTTAAGAAGGTACTGAATCTTCCCTTTTTTGTTTTCTCCTGTCCTTTCTCTTCCAGGGGACTCCAGTGTTCGTTCATGCTGGACCTTTTGCCAACATCGCACATGGCAACTCATCTGTCCTGGCAGATAAAATTGCACTGAAGCTCGTGGGTCAGGAAGGCTTTGTTGGTAAATTTATGTATTTGCTGTCTTTCCTCTTGGAAAAGAGACTTCCTTTTTTTCTTTTTTTTTTCCAAAGAGAGCTGACTTCTCTGTTCACTGTTTTAATGTGCTCTTTATTCCGCCTACAGTAACAGAAGCAGGTTTCGGAGCAGACATTGGCATGGAAAAGTTTTTCAACATTAAGTGCCGGTATTCTGGCCTCCGGCCCCACGTGGTTGTGTTGGTTGCCACTGTCAGAGCTCTGAAAATGCATGGAGGAGGACCCACTGTGAGTACTAGGCAATACTTTCTGTAGGCCCAAGGGACAATTCTTGTTATAAATGAATCCTTTTGAAGTCCTGTGTGTAGCTAGAGGTAAAAGCAGGCTAAGATCCTGACTCCCATGGATTTCACTGGGGCCAGGATTTCATCCCAGGGGCATATGTCTGGCTCATTAATCTACACTTTGTTTTGTATCTGACTCTTGCAAATTTGATTCTGTGGGAGGTTTTTAACCACTGCTGTTCCAGAACAACTCAGCTGCCTCAGCGGGTCCTAAGTGGAGAGGCACTTTTGCAATTACTTCCAATAGAGGAGCCCTCTATCAGGCTTTGTTTTCTGGCCTTCCATAGACTCACCACTTGTTTTAGTGACGCAATCTGGCAGCTGTGGCTTCCTCTGGTGGCCAAATCCCTGTTACACTGTCTTGTTTGCCCATATGGTTTCTGCGGATGCTACCAAATAACACCATAGTACGTGCTCTCCCCGTGGTATGGAGATGCAGCCTCTGTCCCAAAGAGCTCTCAAAGCAAAGTTCTCCTAGGAACTGGAAACCTCCACCCACACTGATAGTGAATCTAGAATTTTGCAGTTGTCAGCCCTTGCCTGCCCCGCCAATCCCCTCTTGGTCCTTTCTGCCTTCCACGTGTGTCTCCTTCTGCTCCCCTATAGTCTTTTCCCCAGTCCATTATCCCCTGTAGCCTTCGTCTCTGCCCTGAAGCCTTCCCAGATCAAGAAGCTAAAATGGTTGTTGGCAAAGTGAATCACATTTGGGTGTTATTTTTCCAGCCTGAACTGTAGAGCTGTACATCCTTTTTCTAATGGGCTCTTGTGTGTGCCACTGGCTCTTCTGACAATCTGTCCTGTGCATGCTTTTGTTTTGAGACTGTCAGTGGTAAAAGTTAATAATGTATCCCTGAAGGCTGTACATGACTTTGTTTGGTACATTAGAGATGCATGCCCTGCTTGGTTTTTATTATTGTAATGAAGCCTCTGCACTCTGGGACATCTCTGTCACATCCGGAATATGTAACTCTGCAATATCCTTGTATTCAGAAAAAGATGAGAGAGTCTTATGAAGAAAGAAGACTGCAGAATAGGGTCTAATTCTTAACCTGAAATGAGATACAACTCAGTGCAAATTGCTATCATTCATAGGAGTCTCTTGCGTTTCTTGCAGGTCACTGCTGGGGTACCCTTACCAAAGGAATACACCGAAGAGGTAATTCTGATCATTATAAATCCAATTGTTGCCATTGGCTAACCAGCTGCTTTAATTGTCATGCAATGCACAACCAATAACTAGTGTGCATCACTTCTGCTGCTGTCAGAGTATTTCTTTATTATTGCTGTCTAACTATTATCTTAGCCTGTAATGTTTCATTTTTATAATGACAGTTTGGCTGTGCTCTCTCAAGCAGTTATCATTATTGACCTAGTCAGTGTTCAGAGCTTTCAGTTTCTCCTGAGCTCATGTAATTGTCCAAGTGCTTGATTTTTTTCATGGTAATTTCCATTCTGCTGCCTATGACCCCTTCAGTGCTGGAGCTGTGTATAGATTAAGGAATACTGTTTTTGCAAGTGTGGAAGGGAAATAGGTTAAAGTCATAACTTTACATGGATGCATTTGTACACTTTGCTAATTAGTATGGCCCCTGTTTATTAATGAGGCTCACGTCTTTGCTTGTGGAACTTCTGTGTGAATTCCCCTTTGCACAACTAGTAATGAAATGGCCAGCATCCCATGCTGATAACCTGAAACACTGCAAATGTAAATATGCATAAACCCAAAGCTGTTAACACAGACTTCAGTGTCACATAATTCAGTGTTAATGACATTCAACACTTCACAAGAATGCGTCATGGATGAAAATGAGGCTTTACTGTAGGAGTTATTGAGCTTCTGTCTCTGCTTATGCAGGGAATGGATTAAAAGGAAATCAAGGACTTCAGAGACTTGATTCCTTCCACCTTTGGTTGGCAGCTGAAACTAACTGAAGATATCTTAAGCTGTTAAACTAGTAATAATCATTTGATTTCATTGTTCTGGTTAGAGATGGTCATTCCTTTCCCGTAAGGAAACTTATCTGTCATTCAACAAAACAGTGATATTTGTAGAAAGCTGCAGCATGAAAATTTGTCTTTAAGGCCTTATTTCTATTTTGATACTATTATCATTATTTCATCTGCTGTTAAAGTCAGAGATTCCTGGTCGAAGTTTCACTGCTCCTCACAAAATGTATCTCGTTTCTCACTGATATCGTTGCAGAATCTTCAGCTCTTGGCAACAGGTTGTAGTAACTTAGGCAAACAAATCCAGAATGCCCGGACCTTTGGCACTCCCGTGGTAGTCGCTGTCAATGCTTTCAAGTAAGTGAGGCTAGTAGTTAGAGCTGTGTTTGCAGCCATTCCACAAGTGTGAAGTGCCGGTATTCTGAAATGTCACCTTTTTCTTGCTTTGTATAAACTGCTAGCAACTAGTATCTTGCATTGAACAAAATTGTCTGATAAATATGACTAAGAGAGCTCCTTTGTCAATCTCTTAAATTCTTTCCCTGGCTAGTTTTAATCTTGATAAAATAGGATTGTTGTTTATTGAGCCAGTAATTTTCATTCTTGCGAACTAAATGATTGTGATCAGAAGATGCTTCTGGTGTCCTGAAGATTAAGTATATAATAGTCTATGCTGTCGCTATTGTCCCTTTTTATACGAGCAACAAAGCTTTGAACTGGTATTAAACTGATTCCAGTTGCAGATCGCAGCCAGTCTGAAACTGAGTAATCAGCTAAGGATTTGCCATCCTAAGTGAATAGTTTCTGATATGTAGCACAGTATCAATTTTGGCCTTTCTAAGAAGTGCATTATATCCATCCGATCTCCATTCATAGACCAACAATGGTATTTGCTTTCATGGTAGTCTCTTACTTCCTAGTACAAGAATTATGCTGGTGACGCTGACCTCTGTATAGGACAGGAACCACTGAAAATACAGGATGCTGCTCTGTCAGTCATAGATTTCTGTATACACCGCAGCCATTACGGAGAGAGCTGGCTGTACTGCTGTGGACTGGCTTCTTTCACAAGATAGTGGAGGCCTATATGAAAATCTCTCCTGACTGTTAGGGTGGGTCTGCTGGCTTCTAGGATTGCTTTGTTCAGCATTTTAGGATATTTTGGGGGGAAAGATATATGCTGTATGTTTAAAAGAGGCAAACAAATCATCTGAGTACTAAATGTGTATACTTGGACATCTTTACAGATCTGATACAGAGGCTGAGCTGCAACTGGTCATTCAACTAGCAAAAGAAGCTGGGGCGTATGATGCTGTGAAGTGCACTCACTGGGCAGAGGGAGGGAAAGGAGCTGTTGCTCTGGCTCAGGCCGTTCAGAGAGCCTCACAGGAACTGAGTAACTTCAAGTTTCTCTACAATGTGGAGGTGAGAACATGCATTGACCAAAGGGGAGACCTTATGTGACTTTGCATTTCACTTCAACAAAAATGTTTGAGAACATTGCGGATTAGAATTACAGACATGCTTTGTGGTCTGTGATACTTCACGAAAGTGCATTGTATCCATTTGCTGGTGTTGCCTAGTTCTATTTGCTCTAAGTCAGTGGTTTTCAGCCTGTGGATTGTGGATCCATACGGGTCTGCGTACTATGCCTAAGATTTCCAAAGGGGTCCACACCTCCATTTGAAATTTTTTAGGGGTGTGCAAATGTAAAAAGGTTGAAAACCACTGCTCTAAGTACTGAAGATCACCCTAAAATCTGAAAAAAGAAAAGGAGTACTTGTGGCACCTTAGAGACTAACCAATTTATTTGAGCATGAGCTTTCGTGAGCTACAGCTCACTTCTCTAAGGTGCCACAAGTACTCCTTTTCTTTTTGCGAATACAGACTAACACGGCTGTTCCTCTGAAACCTAAAATCTGAGACTTCCATTGGATCCTAGATCTTTTGAGTCTGGGCAGTGAATTGTAAAGTCTCTTTCCCTGCATTTTGGATGACTGATTGGAACTTGTTCATTGTCTGCACTGAAAGGCTTTACCAGAACTCCCACTCAGAGTGTGAAGCACGTCTACTGTAGGCAACCATGGATCAGGGCAGTGAGGGTATTTACTCCTCAAACTGAGATGCATTTTCCAGGCCATACACTGAAATGAAGAGACCTGAGAGATGTTTTGCTCAACTTGTGATCTTTCTTAGAACTTCAGAATGTGCCTCTTGCTTTGCATGGGGTGGAGCTCACTGAAATCTGCCTGCCTACCTGACCACAAAACAAATACGTGATCAATTTATTTTATATCCAAGGGCGAATTTGATTCAAACTCTATTGTCTTGAGTCCACAGAGTAATCAAATAATCATTTAATGTCTCACAAGGATTGAAAATCATCTGTTCTAAATACATGGAAGCTAAGTGATAAGTTAAAAATACTGCAAGTAACTGGAAATGTGGTTTATAAATAGAGTTGATGGATGTTTCAGGTAACTCTCTAAGATGGTTACAGGTGTAATGAGCTCTCATAGTTCAGTTTCCGGCCACACCTTCCCCATTCTGGAGTTTTCTGTATCTCTTCTAAGAACATGGAGGACATCTCCATGTTCTACTTGCTTTTAATCCTTCAATTGCCATTTTCCCTTTGATGCTTTGTAGTGCAATTAATGACTTACTAGCCTAAGAGAGACCTATGCATCCTTCAGGCAAAAGGAGGGTAACTTCCTGGATGTCAGTATTGTTACGAATTACACCTGGTAGGACATGCACACAAATGCTACAAATTACACCTGGTAGGACACGCACAGTTCGAATCTAGGCTGAGGCACATAAACAAAGTCCACAACTGCAGAGTTCCCAAAAAACACCAAGTTTATTACGCTCGAGCGTGGTGCCCCCCTGCTAGCCAGGAGGGGACCACGAATACGTAATGGGCAGGGGGGACAGAGTGAAAGAAGGAAGGAAAATGGAGGGGTTCACAGGGCATGCTTGCGCACACACTGGAGGACCACCCCAGAAACACTGGTGTGATGATGATTTCATATTTAATGTACATGTCCCTCCCGCCATTTTGTTGTGGGTGAGTGGGTGCTGCACTGACCTCAGTTTTTGGCGTGCCCAGCCGGACACACTGTAAAGGGGTTTGATTTTCAGAAAATGCCAAGTAGCAACCCCTTGAAAATCATGCCTCTTAAGGTGTCTGGAGTTGGGCACCAAAATAGCTATTCACTTCTGGAAAATCTTGACTGATGCGCCAAAGTTTGATTCTTTTATTGAAAGCCAGTGCCAGATATTCATGCAAAAGTTTCACAGTGCTCCAGTGAGAGTGCCTAAATGGTCCAGGAGCCTGGCTTATACATCTTTCAGTCAGTCTCTCCAGATCTGGTGTTTAACAGTAACCACCATTTCTGGCTTGAACATGTCTGACTTCCTCTATAGCAGAGAGACAAGGTGGGTGAGGTAATATCTTTTACTGGACCAACTTCTATTCGTGTGAGACAAGCTTTTGAGCTTACACAGAGCTCTTCTTCAGGGCTTCCTCTGTAGCAGACAGCTGTCTAAGGGCCTAGTGAAATGCTATGTTATATTTTTGAATCAATTTGTTCACCTTAACAGATGCTGAATTTCTCTCTTACATGCTGTTTGTTTTCCTGAGTACCTAGAACTGCTTTGGACTTTTTCAGAAGTTACCATTCCCCCCTCCCACCACCACTCCTCTTAAGTGTTTCACTGTTGTAACCAGGTTGGATGGTTAACATGTAAGCTCAGCTTAAAGAATATTTATGCATATTTTCTTGCTTCTGGTGACAATACATGAGTCTTGTTTGTCCTACTGTCAGAAGAAACCGCTGTAATGTGATGAGTGAAACCTGTTTTGAAAACCCTCACATTGTTGTAGAGCTGCAAGTAGAAATTGGTGTAATAGCTGCAGGTTGCGCGTCCCTTGATGTGTACAGGACTGCAGAGCTTCTGTGATGTCACAGCCCTTGATAGACTGGCCATCATTGACTTGTTTCTCTTTTCTAGCTCCCGGTTGTAGAGAAGATCAGAATTATTGCACAGCAGATTTATGGGGCAAAGGACATTGAGCTATCTCCAGAGGCAGAGCAGAAAGTTGTAGTGTACACTAAGCAGGTGAGTTCTCCAGGTCATTGTTGCCCATTGTCTTTCCCCTTTAAAACATTTGCACTAAACAGTTGAGTTTTTAAAATGTGAATTCCATATGTGAAGGGCAGTGTCAGTGCTAATCAAACCATGCACCTACAGACTGGAGGGAATCGGCACAGCTGTTGGGAAAAGGGTGGTGTTCTGGTTAGGAACTTCTCCTGATTGAAACATTGGCTCACCCAATGTTTTAAGTCATGTCACCATCCTAGCTGGTCTCTCCTTCCCCTTCTGTAATAGGGCACTGGTGATAATTACATCCCTTGCAGCTAGGCTGTGAGAGTTAATGTCTGTAAAGGGTTTTGAAGCTGAGTGCTGTGCAGATGGTTTGTGTTTTCTTGGTGTCTTGCATGTTTTGAATGACTTCTCTTTTGGAGAACATTTGTTTGTGAAATTATTTGTATGGCTGCTCCCTTTACATATTTCTTACATGTCCCTTTATATTCTACAGACCATTCATATAATAGCTGTGTAATTGCTGGTCCCGCACATCCTGCAATTATATTGATCTGATAAAGACTTCAGGTGGGCTGAGAACTTTAATTTTGAGATGTTAAAACAAAAATTAATTAAAACAAACAAAACCCCACAAAAACGCTTAGTTATATACTGGATTCCTATAAAAGCATTAACCTCTTCTCTGTTTGGATCTGGCCATGACAACGTTTGTTTTTTCCTTAGTGACTGGAGAAAAGAGGAAAGGTTTTCTGAACTGATTTGACAGTAACATGCAGGTTGTAGGCAAAGCAGTTACTGAGAGACAAGATGGTCTGTTAATCCAAAGAATGGCAGAATGAAGCAGATTACCTAGACGAAAGTTTTACTTTTGCACTTTACAAATTATATCCCATTTTCTTGCCCCTTCTTGTTTCCCCAGGGATTTGGAAATCTGCCAATCTGCATGGCTAAAACTCATCTGTCATTGTCTCATGACCCAGAGAAGAAAGGTGTGCCTACAGGCTTTATCTTGCCTATCCGAGATATCAGGGCCAGTGTAGGTGCTGGATTCCTGTATCCATTGGTAGGAACGGTAAGTGTCATAGTTAAAACCTCAGCTCCATAAAGGAAAAAGTTTTGGAAAAAATGCGTGTGCATTCCAGTTGGTGGTTTAAATCAGTGGTTCTTGCTGGTATCCTATGAGAGGGAACTCTGCATACCATACACGTTATCCATGTAGATTTACAAAGTGTACTAATAATGTGTCTATATAGTGCTCCTAATGGAGTGCCTGTACAATACGCTGGATGCCCTTGATAGTTTTTTAAAAATATGCTAAAATAAACAAACCCCTCATTTCCTCCAGATAATTCCAGTATCCAGCAACAACATAAAATGTGGCAGATTAACTGACCTTACATAAAGAAAAGGAGTACTTGTGGCACCTTAGAGACTAACCAATTTATTTGAGCATGAGCTTTCGTGAGCCACAGCTCACTTCATCAGATGTGTACCGTGGAAACTGCAGCAGACTTTATATACACACAGAGAATATGAAACAATACCTCCTCCCACCCCACTGTCCTGCTGGTAATAGCTTATCTAAAGTGATCAACAGGTGGGCCATTTCCAGCACAAATCCAGGTTTTCTCACCCTCATGCTCAAATAAAATTACCAGCAGGACAGTGGGGTGGGAGGAGGTATTGTTTCATATTCTCATTGTGTATATAAAGTCTGCTGCAGTTTCCACGGTACACATCTGATGAAGTGAGCTGTGGCTCACGAAAGCTCATGCTCAAATAAATTGGTTAGTCTCTAAGGTGCCACAAGTACTCCTTTTCTTTTTGCGAATACAGACTAACACGGCTGTTCCTCTGAAACCTGACCTTACATATGGTCCCTGAGGCCTGGTCTACACCAACGCTGTAAGTCAATTTAATTTACACTAGGTAAGTTACATAACTGAAGTCGACATAGCTTAGATCGACTTACAGCGGTGTCTACACCACACTATGTTGATGGGAGAGTGCCTTATTGTGTCTTCACCAGACCCACTAAATCGACGCTGCTGCATCGATTGCAGTGACACCAATTTACAGTGAAATTAGCCAAATCCCACACCTAGCCCTATCCAGTGCCAATTTTTTCATGAGCCAGAGCAAAATGGGGGAGCCATGCAACATGCCGTGAGGCTAACAAACCCTGGGGTGCAGATCTGGAGAAGAAGTGAGTTCCCAGGGTCCGAACAGAGAATTCCCTGCTAGCTGTCCCATCTTACATTGGAAGGGCTTTGAGTAATTAATCTGTCCGGCACAGCACCTGCACCAGTCACTCCTTCTCCGTAATATTGCAGAGTAATTTAGTCTGTTTAGAAGTAGCACTCAATGTGCACAATACAGTGAGTGATGCAATTGGATATTTATTACTTTCCTTGTTGTGTGATTGAAGGAATGTTAATTACAGCAAAGACTCCCAGAATAACACTGGCCTTGGACAAGCTACTTAACTTCCCTGAGCATCCCTGTCTGCAGAATGGGGATAATACTTAGTTCACAAGGGTGTTCTGTGGCTTGGAGTTTCTAACTGTGAAGTGCCTTGAAATTCTGTAGCTAAAGGGTCTGTACAGCTGCAGAGAATTAGTTTAACTACTTGAATGCCTCAGACTCAAGGTAAGCTCCTCCTCCTGCTTTGCCGCAAACAGTTGATTGCTGCTGCTGATACTAAGATGTAAACCAAATGGGGAGCATAAGGCAATGAGGAAGCAAGCTCCATTTGCCAAATAAAGGACAAAAATCAATTGGGAAAGTTCATAACTGTTTCACTGAAAGGGGAAGGTTCGAGTGCTACAGGAAAGTCAATAGCATTTCAACTCTCCAATTTAAGGAAGCAATATATTTAATAGGAAGATGCACATTTCAACTGCCCCTTACTGTAAAGTCAGTTATCAGATATAAATAGGAAAATACATGGGGTAGGACTAAAGAGTCTTTAACATCTTCACCTAATTTTGAACTGCTGGTGTTTTTTAATTTAAAAACTTGAGTCTTGTATTGCCAGAAGCTGGGAGCGGACATCAAGAGATGGATCATTGGACAACAGAGGGTTGGATCATTCAATGATTGCCTGTTCTGGTCATTCCCTCTGAAGCACCTGGCATTGGCCACTGTCATAAGACAGGATTCTGGGCTAGCTGGATCGTTGGTCTGACCCAGTCTGGCCATTCCTATGTTCTTACCTGTAGCCAACAGCAGCTTGCTTGCTGTAACCCTAAAACCATATGAATTTAAAAGAAGAAAAAAGTGCATGGGCTCACTGGGTTGATTTGTCAGGGTGGAATATCACTGACCAAGTAGTACTGTTTGTGCAAGTATCAGTAAGAATATTAATGCAGTTTCATCTCCAGAGACCTGAGCTCGAACCTAGTCTGGGTCAGAAGTGAAATGAATTTGGATTTAGCTGACATTTGTCCACATTGTAAAACCACAGTATAATTTGGCAAGAGTCCGTTCACTCTGATTAGTGGAGACCAGAATAGCAAGGGTGAGGAAGGTCAGGATGAAAGTGTGTTACTTCAGTTGCAGAGGGAGACTTGGGTTGTGCCCGCCAGCACTCTGCCAAATTTTAGGTGCTATTCTCATTCTCGAGTACTAGAATCCCCCTTTCAGATGTAACGCTAGTGCTCTTAGACTTGACTTTAAGACAGTTGAAATGATGAGTAGTGCTTTAGATCTGTGGGGTTGAATCTTAATCAATTCACTGTAACTAGATTTGTTGTGTTTGAGGAAATCTTAAAAAATTAAATTAATTTTTAACACCAAGTAGAAGAGTAAACAGTCAGTCATGACGAGCAAGAAATTGCCTACCTCCCTAAACAGCTGAATGTTTCTTTTAAATCCATGCTTTAAAAAAAAACAAAACAAAAAATATATATTTAACTAGAAACAAACAGTCCCTGAAGTTCAAGAAAAAAAACAAACAAAAAAAAACCTGGAAAATGAGTTTAAGTATCCTGAAAGAGCAATATTGTTACCATTGCTCAGACCGTCCGTGCTTAGTCGTTAACTAAAATTCACTGAATTCTTCATGGCTCAGGCACACTCAGCAATTTGGTTCCTAGAGCATCTTGAAGATTATTGATCTCCAGTGGCCTTGTCGCGACTTAGAGGCGGAAACGGTGTTGGTGCCATGCGAACAAAGTTAAACCACAGGCATTATGTTTAGTTTTCTCAAACTTGAGCTGCATCTAATCCATTAAACTAGGTTCAGTCACTGCCTCCAAATTGGGTGGTTGGTTTGAAGAAAAAAAAAAAAAGACAGCAATAAAAACCACACAAAAGTGGGGAAGTGACATCATCAGCTGGAGATGACCAGGGTGGGAACAGGATCCAGTGACAAACGTGATGGGATCACCACCCTAAATGGCTGGTGTAATCAAAGCAGAGTGAAAGGGAGCTACAGACAATCATGTCCAAGGAAATAACATCAGCAATAAAGGAGTGCCTGAAAATCTGGAGGGGAGGAATCTAGTCCTGTTTGGGCAGACGCTGGTAGAAGACCTACTAAATGTTGTTTCTCTGAGTGGATAGGGCATGGAGAGTATTATCCCTCCTGGCTGCAAGTGGTAACTGTCCAAAATCTCAATGCTGGGTTCATTGATTGAACAAGAAGAACATGGCAGTGTAAATATTTCTAGATTACCTGTGATGAAGGAATTAGTCATGTCTCATTTAAATAATCTGTCCTCTTTAAAAAGAGCATATGTGTTTGGATACAGTGAAAGATAAATTGAGCCCTTTCCCATCATTAGTTACATTCATTGCAAACAACACAGAATTTAATCCAATGACTTTTGGAGAGTTTGAAATGTAGATGAACCATGGGGTATGCATCTTAGATCAGATGTATGAGAGAGGGATGTTTTCAGAAATTAAAACCAAATAGAACTGGTTTGTTCTCCCATGGTGTCAGTTCTGCAAAATCAGTCTTGCTTTCCAAATGTCTAAAGTATTTTTTTGGCGCAAGACATTAACTCTAATCGACACAATAACATCAGGATTAATAGGAGATTTATGATTATGGCCCTGACCCTGCAACCAGATCAGTCTTGTGTAAGTATCCACCAAGCCATTTGACTTTAGAGGGGCATGATTGCAGGATCCAGCTCTGGGGAATGCAGAATTCAGGCTGTTGTCTAAGCCCATTAGGGTGTCTCTACCCTACAGTAAAAACCCAGAGCTGGCCTGTGTCAGCTGATGTGGGCTCAAGGGGTTGGTATAGAGGTTCGGGACCCTCCCACCTTGCAGGATCCTAGAGCTCAGGTTCCAGCCTGAACCCAAATGTCTACACGGCAATTAAACAGCTCCTAAGTGTCAAATTGCAGTGTAGGCATACCATTAGATTAGTGGACCCCAGACTGTGTGGTGCAGTCCCCCAGGAAGGCTGTTTAGCTCTGCTCTGCCCCCAACTTTGCTCCAACCCCAGCTCCTGGCCGTGACTCCACTCCTGGCTCAGGCTCTGCTCCCGGCCACAGACCCACCCCCAGCTGCAGCCCTGGCCTCAGCTTCTGGTTCCCAGCCCAGCTGTGACTCCGGCCCCAACTGTGGCCCCTCTCCTGGCCCCGGCTCTTAACCGTGGCTTGCAGGCTGCGGGGAGGGGGGGCCATGGACAGAGGTAAGGAGGGGTCATGAGGTAAAAAGTTTGGAAACCACTGCCTTAGTTGATGATATGCTGGGCCAGATAAGTACTTAGAAATGGGTGAAATTTTCAGAAGAACCTAAGGAACTTAGGAGCCAAAGTCCCATTGACTTTCGGTGAGACATTGGCTTCTGAGTGCCTAGGTCACTTTTGAAAACAGGTTACTAAGTGCTTTTGAAAATTTTTAGCCTGTAATATATAATAGGTGCTTGATTGTTGGGCCTTTTTTTGTTTGCTTGCTTGTTTGTTTGTTTGTTAATCCTGTGGGTGGATTCAGTGCCTCTCCATGCGTAACTAAGCAATGATAATCACTCTGCATTCTTCAGCTTTTCAGTGCCTACATTAAGGAAAACACCCCACACTCTCATTTACATCTAGTTTTGAGAACAGCAGAATGA